ATCTGTTGTGAGAATGTGTATGTAAAGAATGTTTGCAATGTTTTTCTCTGAAATGATCTCTGAATGTAAACTGAATGCTGGTAAATGTGAATCTCATGTTTCGTTTGCATCATTTACTCAATGGATGATAGAGTTTTCAGTGGAGTGCAATCGTGTTTATTTTGTTTTATTTTTGATAATGGTCTTGGGTCATTCAATACTTTCTAGCTCCTCCATTAACTCTTAAGATTTTAAAAATTCTTGCATTTTATTTTTACATATACTGTGATATAACTGACAATTAACACTGAAAATGTGCGGAAAATAGCTTATAGATCAGTTTACAAGAAATAATTTGGGATATGTCCATCCTACAATATTTGATTAGGTTATTTTGCTCTCGTATTAGTTAATGCATTGGTGTTTTTTCTGGTGATTTGAAAAAAATACTTCGGTTTCTTGCGACATAAGGAAGTGCATTTTCTGGTAATGTGCCTTTTTTAATTTTCCTAGGAGTTCAAGTTCGGAGGAATGGAGAAACAACCCTTTTTTACATACACATTTCATGTGTGTGGCGATTCCTGCCTTTGTTTGTGTAACATGTAAATGAAGAAGGAAATGAATGATCTAGTTCATTTGACTACAGCCTTTTCATATAGGACTAATTTCACTCGTTTGGATTCAGTGCTTTTCTGTTATGGAAAGAGTGTGAAGAGTTTCTGAACCAGTGTCTAAAATCATCAAACCGTAGTCTTCCACACCTCTATTATCCCTGTGATATTGGAGTTTTTGCAGTTTTTTCCCATTTTTGTGTTGTTGTTGGAAGAAAATGGCAAAAAAAGTCCAGTATAAAGTTTTAAAAGACATGATTCCATTTTAGGACATTTTATGTTTTACACTTTAAATTCAGATCTGCCTTTACCAATGAACTCTCCATTGTGTTTGTTGAATTCCTATTTTTATTGGGTTTTTTTCATCATTAACCACTTACTGGTGTAATTATTCATGTTGAGTTTGAACAGGCAGCTGTGTCGCCATGTGAGCTGCAATGGAACTAGTAGAGATTAGTTCCACACTGAAAAGGCAAATAAAAAATGCAGTTGTCAAGCCTTCTTTGCTTCTTGAGTTTTCGTTTGTCTTGATTTGAGAAAACTATTTTGAAATTCTGTGTTAGATACGTTATTAGGATAGTAGAAATTGAAGCAGGAGTTTTTAGCCAAGCTAAAATTAATTATTAAATTCGTGTGTTCATCTCTCCATTAGTTGACAATCTTCTGCTTAGTACCGGTAAGGCCAGAGCCTGATGCAGATACAAGTACCTGTCATGGTACAAGGCCGGACCACAGTCTGGACAGTACAGAAGCTTGTCTTGTTGCAGCAGTGTGTAGGGATGCAAGGAGTAACGGTGCAATCCAGTGAAGGTTTGAGATGAGTTTAATTTAAAAAAAAAAATTGTCCACTTCCGGAAAACGCTGAAGGAGACGCACATGAGGTGTATTTCCCACAGTGCCCCGAATTGCAACAGTTTTACAGAGGTGTTTATAGGCTGAGTCCAGCCATGTTATTCCAATGAAAGGGGGTTTAAGAGTCCACTTTCTACTAATGGCCCACTGGCTATTCTTAAAGATATTGTCCTGCCTTTCAGCTATTTCTGTGGTGTCGCGTACAACAGCAGGTGTCCGTTCTGAGACTCTAAAGCCAGGTTAGGAGACCAGGTCAATGACCCCAGGCCAGAGCCAGATATCTACAAGTGCGCATTCATTCGGAATCATTTTGGTCATGATTGTGACTTTGGGTTGTGCTGGAGGGACACAATCCACTCGAGCTCCACTTTAAGAAACTGCAACTCCAAAGACATGTAATGGGGCCCCACTTTAAAATATCTTGATTGGGTAGAGGTTAAATGTTAAGTCATTAAGAGTGTTAATCTATGGGGACTTTTCTATTATTTATTTAATAGTTCTGTTACTGAGAGCACTTTGTACTCTAAGTTGAACATTAAATAGGCTGCCTAAGAGTGGCTTGTTGGAGATTTGTCAAGCCATAAAGCACTTACAGAGTCAAAGGACAGTCAAAGTATTGGCTAGCTTATTTTTAAAAAGCATGCCTGACAAAGTAATTTCTTTGTTTTTCTCTGACTTGTGCCTCCGAGACCAAAAATAGTTGGTCATGTTTGATATACTGTTGAGTTTTCACCCATGCTGTTGACACAGTTGAAAAGCAGTCAGACAAAGGTATTTTTGTACTGTAACTGGAATTGCTGCTGTTTGACAGCGTGATAAGCTGTGGTTTGACAGAAGGCTATTGTGGACGCGTCTTTAACTCGTCTGCGGCACACAATGTGGTATTGTTTACTGCGTTTAGCACACTCCATCTCCATTTTAGGGCTCAGGCAGTTGTAACTTTCTGCTAGTTGTACACGTCTTTGTTTTTCTGTGTGCACGCGCTGTTTAGCATTCTGTCAGAGTGACGTTTATGCAGGGAGAATGTGGAGGGAAAAATTCTAAACTTGAAATTGCTCTTGAAGTTTTAATATTGTAAAGGTATTGTACTTAAATGCCTTAGGTCTGTATCCCTGACGTGACTGAAACCTTCTTTTGTTCCCATTAAGGTGCGTGTTAATATAAAACAATATTGTGCTAAATTGCTGTATGTTCAGAAGTTCAAAGGTTTTTGGTCAGAGTTAGCAAGCATAAGATACCATTACATGTTAGCCTGGTCTTTTATGACAAAAATGGATCAGTTGGTAATCTTTCTGTTCTTGGAATCCTTGTTATAGTGATTTTTACTGGGTACTTCCACATTCTGTCCAGCCTAACGTGTTCCCTTTTTTCAGTTCAGTAAAGTGGGGGATAGGATTAAACAATATTGAGAAGTTAAAACTTCTTATGGTTTCTGTTCTCTTGTAGGGGGGATGAGTTGTTTGTGCAATGTGGATAGTAAGCTACTGTTCGCAGAAACCCTTGTAGTCATTACACATTCTCTGTGGTGCACAGAGTATGTTAAAGGAGCCTAAATACACTGCAAAGCTTAGCATAGTAGCCATAAAAAAAGGTCTGGGAATTGTTTGACCAGAACTCATGGGGAAAACTGTACATAATGTACTGATATCGGATGCTATATGAGCATGACTTGAAATGAGTACCTACCCTGTACAGAAAAGCTTCTCGAACAAGAGAAAAAGTGGTCTTTAAGAAGCACCTCTCAATGATATGATAAGGTGCAGGTCTGTATACTTTCTGTAGGTAATGCTGCTGTCATTTTGCTAACTGGACACTGGCATCCAGTTCTTGCAGATTAAAGCTCTTGAGTAATTGTCCCATGATTTGCAGGTCAGCTTGTTCAAAGCCTTTTACATTATTACAAAGCTGATGTTAAACTGGATTGAGACGCCATTACAAAGTTGAATCAGTAAATAATTTATAAATATTATGTACTATCTTGCAAGCTGCAGTTAATACTTATCTTAATAACCCTACAACATCATACTGAGTTGCTTAGATACAACTTTTTCCTTGCGCTCATCATATTAGAGGAAAAGGATCTAAATTGTTTTGCTCCTTTGGTTCTCCAGATTTCCCATAACTGCCTGTTGTCCCACAGAGCGGGCATTAGCTTTCCTTTTCCTAGTTCTTTTAGGCTATAAGCTTTCACAAAGTATAATTCCAGATGTTTTAATCTGTTATTTTTTGTGTGTTCTGTGTTTTGACCTCCCAACTTGTATGCAGGGGCTTTTGGGAATTTGGAACAAGCTACTTGGCCGTTTTGTTGAAGCTGATACCCTGTCTTCTTTCAAGAAACAGCTGGATGCGATCTGCTGATCAGTCAGCTACCAACTACTGAATGAGCCAAATGTCTGCTGCCATTTGTAATCTTTCTTTATGATTTTTCTCAATATAACACTGCACTGAGGAATCCTACAGTATATTAGAAGCCTGAATACCATTGCCTATTATAGGATAGGAGCCGTTTGAAATTCCTGGGTTGTTTTAATCTTTGACATCCAGATGGCTGCTTTGGCCTCCTTTCAGATGCTCTGAAAAGTGGTGAATCAGTCACTCAGCCCAATGTTTGTGTTCTGGCAGAGGTCCCACCCTCGGTGACTCACTCTCACTGTGATCTCGTGGTCATGACAAGTGCCTGCTCCAGCAGTGGTCACTCTGCTTTCTGCCTCAGTGATGTCTCCCGATGGCGCGTCGTGAGCCCTGCTGTGGTCTCTTAAACCCCAGTATGGATTTTCTTTCATGAATGTCAGTGCCAAAACTAGATTGTTCTCTCAAGAACTGAATAATGTACTGTAACTCATTTCCTCCTTTAATTAAAGACTTAAGTTATGGGACCTTAAAAATACTGTTGTTTCTGTTTATTTGTCGTTGTAAAATAATTTAAAATCGATCGATGTCTACGCTCAGGTCCTCTTTGTCTTAAGAATGTAACATTTTCTTAATTTAAAACTCCACCAACACCAAAAATGTGACACTTGAAGGCTTGTAAAAGTCTTTTTTCCCCCATTTTCAACATAGGCATATGAAAAGGGCATATCCACTTAATTTCTTAAAGCTTAAAGTATATTTTAGGCATTAAATACACAAGTAAATGCAACTATTTTTTCTGTAGTGCTATGTTCACAAATAGAAGTTTACAAAGTATTTTAAAGTATATGTGTATGGGTAACATAAGAAGCCCTATTGTTAATATGACCAGAACTGATAGTTTTCCACCTTTAAAGGTGGCTGTATTTAGGTCTAACCAAACATCCAGGTTGTCTTGTGGTTAAAAGCACATGAAAAGTGAATGATCTGCACGATGGAGACATTTATGAAGTCAGGGTCTATATACAATGCGTTTATATAGGCCTAACTTTTTAAAATATTAACAGAGACTTAAAGTGTTGATACAACAAGGCCTTTATCAGTAAGGGAGGCTGTTAAATGTGCCATATAGCCACCTAGCTAAGCTAGTGAACAGATGTGTGGCTTGTAATGAAATGTTTACATAGTCTTTGCTGTGTTTTATTTCAGGATACAAACAATATCACATCTCTAGAGAACAACATGTCCCCTACAGCAATCGACACAGTAGCACTATCTTGGATAAAAACATCATTTTTTGAGTGTGGAACGGATCGCGTGTCAAATTACTCAACTGCATTTCCTTTGTAAAGGTATTTGAGCCATGCTGACATCCGATGATTTTACTCTTGTTGTGGATTAGTAGGACTTAAAAGCAGGGAAATGCTCTGAGAGATCAAGCTATTTAGAAAATCTGTTTTTAATAGCAGATGCTGAGTAGGAATGGACAATCTAGTGAAACCGTGCTGATCATATGATTAATACTTTGTAATGAAGAAATGGGCCCTCTTACAAATGATTTTCTGTTTTAGTTTGCCAGTCCACTGACTGGTCTCTGACACTAGGAATAACTGTTTACAACTTCAGATTCATTTGCCTGTGAATACACTAAATGCTATCCTTATTTTGCCCAAAAGCAGTTATATTTTTAGATATGGCCTTTGTATAGGGCCCTCACTGAAGTGGTGTGTATCTGTATGATTGTAATGATTTTATTGTCCCCTTAGGATAAACGCCATGTCTGTTTTTATGGTGTCTTTTATGAGAGGACAGTTCTCCTTTTTTTTCGGGCGTGACAAATTTTTAGCTCTACTTCGATGCTGTTGCTCCCAGAGGGTGGTTTTTTTACTGAACAAAGGCTTATCTTTCAAAGGCTATTATTTTTAGAAACATTGGCTTCCCTCCAAGGAAATAAAAAATTATAAAAGAAGGACATGCAACAAAGCAAATTTAGTTGGCGTGTCTCTGGTCTTTGACAGTGGCAGCGCCAGCAAGGAAGAGGAGACCAAGCTGGTTGCCGTACTGATAGCTGAGCAGCCTGATGTGTAATGCACAGCCCTCCACTACCACATTCACACAGGTTGTCACTGTGTTCCATTCAATCTCAGCCTTTCAGACCAGTAATTCTGTAAAGGCAACCTTGTGTGACCTTAAAATAAGAATCACATTCAAATAGTCTCTTAATCTGGCATCTCTTCCATATTTTTACACTATTTTTCAACTCCTTTGCTAAATATGTTCAGTGTAACTTGTTGCAAATTGCATGTACACCATGCACACAAAAGTGTACATAGCCCAGATCAGTGTTCTATTTGTCTGCATTCAGGTAAATTAATTTGCAAAACAGAGGGGGGAAAAAGTGTCTTTCTAGGATGTTCTAACTACGTTTGAAAGTCAAATAGCAGTATTTTCTGTACCATCTCGTTCCCATGTCGAGAGATTTACATTTTTCCTAGAAAAAGACCTGATCTGCATTTAAATTAGATGGGCTTCACCTCTATCAGGTTGTCTCGGAATATGCTATTTTCACTTCAAAGCATTATCTGACACATTTCCTTGATATTGGCTTTGTTAAAACCAGCACAGACATTGTTAATGAATTATAATGCGAGAAGCCCTGATTTGGGGTACCTTAGAAATTAAAACCACTAACGACTTTCACACCAGTGTGTGCTGTACAAGGAGGACATGCGTTTTTTGGTGGTTTGTTAATTAACCAAGGGGTTAAGGTTGGGTGTCTCAGAAGACACGTTTCCCGTAATCATTCTAAATGCTTGAGTTTTTATGGGTATAGATAGATAATACTTTATTAATCCCATAGGGAAATAGATGTACTTCTCCCTTTAAGTTAAAATATTGCCCTGTCTCCCTCAGGGACATTCTTTCCCTCTTACTCCGGTTTCAGCAGAGGAAAATAACACTGCCACTGGCTGCCCACACTAATTGCTCAATATACCATCCTGAAATTCCAACATCCTGCCCATTCTCTAATAGTCTATCAGGCTATCTCATGAAAGAAAAAGTGACTTTGCAATAAATAGTCTGGGATCAGGAAAAACCTTTAAACAGCTTTATGAATCCCGCAGTGTTTTAGAATATTACTGTACATGGATTTTTTAAATATTTAATTCCCAGTGCAGCTAGTTTTTGTTTTAGCTATTGAACTTCAGAGAATTGGTTGGAGTTAGCTGACCTTTTAAAGTGTGCTTTGGGTCTCTGTCAAAGTCCATTGTGCGCCCAAGTGTGGTTGGGCCACTGTTCTACACTAGTGTATTTTAAGTGTAGTTCTACACTAGGTCCATTTTATTTACAGCAAGAACCCAGAGTAGACATTACTGCATTACTGAATTTAACCCAAGCACAGGTTTTAATGCATAATCTTAGAATGTGGTATAGCTTCTAATTTACCAACAAGTGTGCTGAAATGGCAAAATAATTAGCTAATCCAAATGCAGTGTATTAAAGTGAGTATTAAATAGTTCATTTCCATGCAGATTATATAGCATGTGAATAGGGACCTACCTGTTTCTGTGAATTAAGGTAAATATGTCTTTACCACAAATTCCAGTGCTCTGAAATTCCAGATAGAAAACTGCTCTGCCAGCTCAGAGCACACATACTTGCATTGAGTCACATTTGAGTTTCCTTTAAGGGAAACTTTCCTTTCATCGTTCTGTATAATTTCCCAGTCGGCAAGAGAGCCACTTTGTGATTGGTTTGAACTGGTCCCTGTATTTCTGGACACCAGGCAAGGGGATGGGATTCGTTCCCAGCTTTGCTGTGTACATTAAAATGACTTCTGAGCAGGAGTGCTTAGTGGGGAAACAAATTAGGAGAACGGAAGAGGAAGTCTTGCAGTACCCAGCTTCTTGTTGTGCAGAAACGCCCACAGCCGGTGACCCGTGTGACTCAACACTGTTTACGCCTAAACATCTGAGCACCAGTGAGCTGACCAACCCCCCCTCCCCTCCCCCCTTACACATGCTGTACTGATGTTATCGTTAGGCTTAAACCTAAGCGGCCTCACAATACTGTGTGTGTCTGCTGGCAAAAGAAACTTCAGCCTTAATCAGAATGCCTGAAACAATCCCTGTTTATAGTCACTGAGCCATATTCAATTTAGGAATGCTGATTCAGGTTATCCGTCATTCTCCTGCTTTTAAAGTCACAAGTGAGTCGGGCTATTTTTAGAATGGAAATTCAATGATTTTTTTCATTACTCACACAGGAAAGAATTGGAAGCTTTTTTTTCCCCATTGGCATTTCATATTGGTTCAGCTCTCCTTTCCTATGCATGAGTGTGAAGAGCACCGACTACCCTGCAAAAATCCTAAGCTACAGTAGTACACGGATACAAGATTCGAGTTCCAAAACCCGTTTTCAGCTTTATTTTTAGAGCACATTGCACTTTCAGAGTAGGCTTATTCCTGTTTTGATCTTTACAAATGTTAAGACTTCTTTTTTTATGTACCTTAACAAAAAGAAAAAAAACATTTATAAGTGGAAAATGTTGGTTTCTTAAATCAGCTTCTTTTTGGCATCTCATATCTTCTGTTTATGTAATGTTTTCAGTTAAAGAGCTGTAATAGCTTTTGATGTGCTGTCTGTATGTCCCTCCCTATCTCTGTGATAAGTGTAAAAATGAGCTTTTTGTGGTGTCTTTGTTTTAATTTTGATCATGGTTTGAAATATCAACAACGGGCATATTTTTTTTTTACAGGAGTGTGAGCAGAAAATATCACCTCCCCTTCATAATCAAACAATCCTGATGCAATTCTTACAAGAACAACCCCCCCCCCCATCCCCTCCCGCTCATGTGAAAATCAACACTTCCCTCAGCCTTCTCATTTTAAACCACATCTTTGTTTCTAGAAAAGCTTCAAGTATGTGTAAAGTGCCATCTTTTGAGCAAAACACTTCCACATTTAGAGCTTTATGGGACCTTGACGAATGTGAATATGGATGCTTTCTCTTCTCTTGGAAAGAGCGAATACTGTGTTCAGTTGTCGTGGAAAAATTAGCAAAGCCCAAAACCATCTTTTCAGCTGCTCTTTCAAGGAATCAAAGGTTCCTGAATGGTGGTTTGCGCACCTTTTTCATTTCTGGTATGGTATCTGTAGTACTCTCGGTGGTTTCCTCGTGCTCTAGCTGCCAGTGCAGTTGGTTTCTTATAATATGGTCTCCGAATAGCATTGGGACAGGTTGGAGTTATAGTCCACTCGGCAGGCTGGCTTGCCTTAAAGTCAGTTTAGTTTAAAACCTCTTCATTGATTGATAACCCCCTTCGTGCCCGTTCTTTACCTGTCTGGCTTGGCACTTAAAAGTCCTTACAAACAGTCCGTTTGTTTGTGTAACTGCTCCATCCTTTTGCAGTTTAATAGCGTGTACATACTGTAAATGTGTGTGCATATATAGGGCAGATGAGCTTTTACATGTCGGTTTTCTACAGTGCCTTTGGAAGTGTAAAAAATACAGTACAAGGCACTTGCATAATGCAATGACACATGATTTGTCAATATCCTTCATGTTCTGGTAGATTTTAATTTTGGCCCCATTAAATTCTAGGTTGTAGTTTCATCGTTTGTGTATGGACCCTGTGCTGTTTTCAGACTTTGCAAATAATTGAGTAACTTAGTTCTGGCAATACCTGTGGGGTGTTGGGTTGAGTGCAAGGCATTTCACTAAAACAAAGTCTCACAGATGTTATCCAATGCAGTGCTGCTGCTGAGATCAAATAGCAGTCAAAACCTGTTGCAATAGGTGCTAAGGGAGAGTGCAGGAATCGCACTGAATACCAGAACAGTTTCCTGTGAACCTAAAGTTTATTCATTTTGTACATACAATCTCTATATACAAAAGCATTATGAGACTGGCAAAAATGCAATACCGACTTCATCTGGACATAGTAAAAGCCTGCTCAGTTCATGATAATCATGTAAAAGTTTATGGAGCAGAATTCTTGAATAGAAATAATGCAGCAGCACAGGAATAAAATAATCGGAAAGTGCTTGTGGTCTGATCATTGCAGCAGCCAGTACCGGTGTAGTGTTGATAAGATGTGGGTTCTGGAGGTGTGTGAATGGTCAGAAAAAGTCCAGGTGTTCACAGGGAGCCTAGTGCTTTTCAGAGGGCCAAAGGTAGTGGCCAGATGTACAAAGCACAGCTGGAATCATCACGTAGCTTCTGTTTAGAGAAGATCTGTTGAAGATTTCTTTTGTTTTCTGTTTAATGCGATATAATGCAGCTTCTAAACCAGGTTCTTTTTCCATTACAGTACTGTCTCGACTTTTGTGTTTTAGGTAATTGGGATAGTTCTGGATGGCTCTTGTGTGGATGTAGATAATCGGTTAACGGGGCATGTTCTGTTTCAGTCCAGGCATATGACACTCACAGAGTGGAATCTTTTGCAAATTATATAAGAAATGCCAAAGGAATTATGTGGCTGGCCAGAGTGGCTAGAAAAGTTTGGTCAGAATACTTTTCATCCAATAAAGTTAACTTTCAAAAAGCTTCTCTTTAAAAAAAAAACAGGATTTTGTTTGATTTTCTGTTTTGAATCAATGTGCCAGACCTGGTTCACTGATGATGATGGTGAAGCAGCGGATCCACTCTACCCTTGATACAGGGGTGGAATTGTAAGCTGTTTTGTAGACAAACATGGATTAAAATTCAATTTAATGCACCAGCTTGACATGATTCCATAAATTCTTATGCAACTACGGAAGAATCCCAGCTGATAAGATGAAGAGGAAACCACTCTCTAGTGCATAGCTGGTTCTCTGGAGTTGAAGGAACTCTGCATATTCTAAGGCACTTCATATTTATATTTAATTTAATTTTATATTCAGCCTTGACTCACCTGATCTACGCAACTGACTGATATTGGTCCAAAAGGTTCTGGTTTGTTTAGATATCCCCATGTAGAGTATGAACGTTTTGAGTCTTCCTAAGCCCAAGTTAGAATTTGAAAACAACAACAGCAGCATACCTCTGACATCATTTTAAAAAAATGTACTGGTTCCCTCATTTGTAAGCCACAATGTTTTTTGGAAAGTGAGTTTAAGTTGAAGGCTGTTGTGTGTTTTAACATGGAAACTGTTTGCTTGCCCATGTTATACATATTTGTGCTGTGTCTGTTGATGGGGATTAACCAAGCCATCAGTCAATCTTGTGTATTGATTTGTTTAATGCATTTGGAAACTTACATAGTTTTGGGAGTCGTCTTACATGTTAGTAAGGTTTATTTTAATCTTTTACCGACGAAAGGTTAAGTCTTTTCTGGGTATTGTTTGTAACAGAAAACAGTAAGGATCTTGGCAGCATATTTCTGAAGAAGGACAAAATTAATTCAAAGTCAGAGAAGCGGTACTCTTGTATTTTCTGAAAGGTACCTGAAGTAAAATATCAATGGAATCTCAGGTTTACGTGTTCAGTGCTTTGGTATTCTCCTTGTTTTTCTGTTTCTATTGCCGTTCAGTGATGTGGTGGATCTTTTTAATGCCAAGGAAGGCAGACAGATGTCTGGGATGGCCAGCATGTGTAGTCTGAAAAGAGGAGTTGGATCTGTTCCTCTGCTAACGAATGACTCAGAATTCTCTTGATATAGTGACAGTGAAAATGAAGGATGTACAATGGGAAGGGAACATATCAGTTAAATCATAAAGGAGGAAGCCATCTTGGGTTGGACAGTCTGATTTATACACGTTTAATCCTTTTTTTTCTCCTTCCAGATCCCTATGGTTGTCCTGGAGTCTGTTTCCCACAATGCCTCCTGCAGTGATGGATACACTGGATATATGGGCCGTGGACTCCCAGCTGACAAACGATGTTTGTGTCGCCGTGGACTTCCTTCTCCCCACAGGAATCTACATCCAGATGGATGTTCCTCGAGAAGCTACCATCCAGCACATCAAACTGGTGAGTGGAAAAGGCCTGGAATTGTCCACTGGAGTCTTCGTACCCTGAAAGCCGTTTAAACCAACATTTTCTGGAAAAAACATCTGAAGGGTGTTTTGTACGCAGTAGTGGTATAGAAATATTTCTAAGCATAAGCAATACATTCCTTGAAAAAGATCTACATAGCTAGGTTTGTAACAACAACTGGAGAAGAAATGACTGCTTTTGTTTGTAACAAGGAGCCATTAATTGGTGTGATTTGCTAGTGGCAAATGTTCTCTAGCTTTCTCTTCTACACTGGAAGTGTACAGTAAATGTGTCAAAAAAGATGTGGTGCTAAAATTGATTCGTCCCAATTACAAACAGTCTCAATTCCAAACTTGTTTTCTTGCCACTTGGATCCATCATGCAATTCCCATGACATTTCTAGCAATAGAAGTTTAACCGTCGCTTTAATAATTGAAATGTCCCATTTCGTCTGACAACTGATGATTCACTTTCACAGAGGCACCATTTAAAACTGTAGTGATTACTTGGAATGAAAAGATCAAAAGCTTCTGGGGTTTTTATATTGAACAGAAAAGGTGCTATTTTCAAACTATTAGCCGAGGAATGAAAATGCTTTTCAAGTCCAGCCCTTGCTTAAAAAAAAAAAATCTATAAACTAACTGTTTGAAGACAGTGAGTCTGATTCAGTTCTTACTGTAGCTGTCCGCAATATGCCTCCCAGTTCTGATTTCCTCCTGAATCATAAGTCATTACTTTTACAGACTCCCTTTTCTTAGTATGTTCTTTGCAGCTTGAAAGAAAACATTCTATGCTGTCATACCTCTGGCATTTGTTTTTTCAAAACACACCCCTCTTCAAAAACACTGAAGCTACCTACCACAAACCACTACATCAGGAAGTAGCCATTAGATCTGTTGGGGGGGAATTAAAAGTGTACAGCCATACAGGCAAAACATCTTTCCATTTGGAATATGAACAGAGGAAATGCAGAAGGTGAAAATGGGCCCAGTGATTTGCTTTTCAGGAATAAAACATGATTATACAGTCTTGTCACAACGATCCATTATATACAATGGCACTGATATTTCCAGATTAAAGTAGCAAGTACACAGCAACATTTCCATTACTGTTTATAAATGACATTTTTACAGATTCTTTCAGAACAAAATCAGGGTTTCATAGCAGGATTATCAAGATCGGATACAATGGAAAATATCACATCCAGCCCTGTGAAGTTCCTTAATGCTAAGCATAATATAATGTATGGGAGACTGTAGGGGATTTTTGTGAAAACCAACACCTAGTTTGTTAGATATTTTTCATCTTGATGAATGCTGGGAGAGCTGATGGAATTAGGCAGCTAAGGAAGTGTCTGGAAATTGAACATAAAACTAAGAAAAAAGCTATTAATTGTTTTTTTTACCATCGAATTAAGTAATTGTCCTCTTTTTTTAATCATTGGTGTGTTTTATTGAAATGAAAGCTGTAGTTGGGCACATAAAAGTGTCATAATATGAAATAGATTTATTTTTATGCATTCAGGTTGAATTTTTGCTCTGTTTGATGTTGTGTATTAGGGTGTGAAAAATGTATTGGAGTTAACAGTATCCACAAACAGAGGAAAGAAATCCTGCAATTGTGTGGGAATGAGACTTTTTAACCTGCCTTAATGATGCCTGAAGATTTCTCCTTTTATATTTAATGGTGTTTAATTGTTAATTCAGTTTTGTCTGCATTCTTTCTCAGTTTTCATACCATGTTGTTCATACCCTCAGTGGTTTTACTTCCTCTTTATAACACATTTGATGATTATTCCTTTGTGGCATGCATGCAATCTGTTCTGTATTTTGGCTGTTATGTGGCTGAAGTCATATTTCATACAAACATTTAATTTAGACTGTCTAAGCTAATGAAGACTACTCTGGTCTGTATCAATGCATTACATTTTTAAAGGGGTGTGTAGAGGAAAAGCATGATAGGACTACACAGCACCTTTTCTTACTTTCATGCAACTGGAAATGATGTATACCTTTCCAGTGTATTGCTGTATGCTGGTATTTAAAAGTTACTTTATATAAAACTCTTACTTTTAATATTCAGTATATAGCATATGGGGGGGGGGGGGGGGTTCACTTGCATTCTATGCTCAGGCCACTTGTTAAGGAATTACAGGTATTTTGTGTGTGTAGTACTCTGGGCCTTGAACTTATCCACACCTTGTCCCCTCTGCAGTTACTATGGAAACAGGCCCAGAGCTACCCACTGTTTTCTTTCCTGGGGGAGATGGAGTCGTACATGTTCGAGTGTGTGAACCAAAGCGCTGTGCACGAGGAGCTGGAGGACGAGACGCGGCGGCTTTGTGACGTCAGGCCCTTCCTCCCCGTCCTCAAACTGGTCACCAGGAACTGCGGCCGAGCAGAGAAGTTACTGGACTCCAAAATAGGCGTTCTTATAGGCAAAGGTAAAAAATGTACTGAAACAAGCCAATTCAGTTTTTGCTACTGTATTCTGTTGTATTATGGCCTCAAATGTCTCAAGTAAAGACCCTGGGTGCCTATAGTCTGAGCATAGCTGATTGCAGCCTGTACTATCATTAACAACTGTGACTAGAATTCCCCAGGAGAGGTTACAGGTGGCTGCTAAGATTAGAAAGACTAGAATCAGGCAGGACTTCCCTGGCTTGTCATGAAATGGTAACTCCTAAGGCCTGCCAGGGACATCTCTGATCTCCTCTTAAGGCACTCAGTGCGCGTCAAATGACAAATGGCCCTGACAGCTTGATGTGTTGGAGGAGCATGTTCACAAGTCCTCATTCTCTCTGTGTGGTACAGGATTACAGTGGTGAGCTAACCTGACTCAACCAATATATTTAAATAGGAAAAACTGATTTAGAAAGAATACATTCAGCCCCATAGGAGCAGTTAGGTGACAGATGATAAATACCCTTATTTTTTAAATATATTTTTTATATTTGTGTAGAAAAATGCTGAGGGTGATGCTCTAACTTATTTTAGGGCAAAGATGTTGGATGTATTCTGAAATTTGTTTCCATCTACTAATGGAATCCTCTTGCGATATAATACTTTTATGTAAAACTCAATCTATTACTAAAACCGTAACTGAGGTTTATGATTGTAAGAGCTCCAGGATACAGTAGTCAATTATTTTTTTCAACAGTAGCTATATTGTATTGTGCTTATTTTTCTGGCAACAAACCCCATCTTCCTGCATTCTGAGTTTATCATTAACTATGAAAGGGAGAAGAAAGTGAGATATCTGGCAAAAGCTTGCTTTAGTTCCAGCATATTTCTCGATAGTCCAGATAAACTCTTTGGATGCCTGCCAGTCATTGAATTGCATTCACCTTGCATAATTCTTCACCAGAGACCAAATTTATCAACAGGTTTTTAGAAATTCAGAAGGATGTGCTTCATAACTTGAGTGGGAGAGGTGGGGAGAGCTGTGCTGCTGTATGAAGAAGACAAAATAACAGTGTAAATATATGAGAATATAAATAAAAAGAGATTATTTGGTCTGCCTCAGTCATTTGGTTACTAGCATTTTGCTGATTGGAGAGGGTTATCGAGCCACTTCATAAAAAAAAAAAAACCCTTTCCAGTAAAAAGGTTTCCTTTTCTGCTTCCACGATGTCTGCAATTTCTCTTATTTTCCTCTCATCTTGATTTCTTAACTACACTTAAAACTATCATTCATATCATTTTGGAGGTGCAGTCATCCAAATACAGATCCATGTGCTGCAGTAATTACCCTACTTTGAGCATTAACCCCTCATTTCTGCTTTTGCAATTTTAATTTAATTGCAGACACTCTGAATGTCTGTACCTTCAATGCCTGCTGACTCCAGTATATATCTATTTTTATATGGAACGTTATGAAAAGCATTCTGGACATGTAAAAATTGGCATATCATATGCATTTTATCCACTATATCCATGCTGATTCTCCCATAGAATCTGACAGACATCCTGATTACCCTTAAGTTCTACTGATCGTTAATATAACCTTACACATAAGTGAAAACACAACATAAGAGTTGGTCTTTAGTTCTGATTGATTAGCAATTGTTCAGTCAATGATCTTACAACTGTCTTGAGTAACAGTGAGAAGTGTTTTGTTAATGGCCTGTAAGTGACTAGGTACAGTTGGCAGAAAACCGTCAGGTCTTCCTGTGTGCTGTAACACCTGTTCTTTGCACGAGAGCCACCAAAGTAATTTTCCAATGCAGCCTATTTAGATTGGTTAAGTCACAGATATGACGGAGCTGTTCTTCTGGAGCAGAACTGCCTTTAATAGATCACTTTATTGGGCACATACAATTTCTTGTATTAGGAATTTGCCTTTTCGTATACCCCAACCTGCTCTCCATGAGACACACAGACAGGGAGAGGAGCTGGGGGTCAGAGCACAGGTTCAGCCATTTATACGGCACCCCTGGAGCAGTTGGGGTTAAGGGCCTTGCTCAGGGGCCCAACGGAGTAGGATTCCTCTGCTCCCATGGGATACGAACCAGCAACAGAGCCACCGCACTAAGCCCCCCCCCAGTTAATGGGGTTTAACTGCACAAAGGTGTGAGCTGACAATCCTCTCCACTGCTCTACAGGTATGTTGTCTTGTTCCTTGCCCCAGGTCTCCATGAGCTGGACGCTCTGCAGGACCCCGAGGTGAAAGACTTCAGGACCAAAATGTTCCGGATCAGTGAAGACAAGATGCAGAAGCTCCAGATGATGACATGGATGGAGTGGCTGCAGTGCTACTTTTCCCCTGTGCTGGACTCTACCGTCCCTGATGGCATCCAGGACAAGCTGAATGTCACCATGCATTTCAGCCACTCCCAGGTGAGGACCGGCCTAGGCCTTCAGCTGGGCAGACTGTGATAAACCCCTCAAGGTTGCTGGAGTTACAGGAGACGTGTGAAGGATGTTAATGAAATCGGCTTCAGAAGTGTTTCTGCTGCGTGTGCTGACTAAACAGATCTTCCACCTGTACCTTATGAAACCCAGTTTCTTCTAAAAGTTGGCTCTCTCTGTGTAAAACTATTTTTCGGCTTTACATCCTCTCACATTTCTTACGAGTTTGGTGCCTGTCGGACAGATATTCCTATCTCCTGAAGCAGTCCCGACACAAGTCCGTTATTGCTTTAAAAGACACCTGAAGCAATATCCTTGATGTACTTTTTTTTTAAACTATGAGTTTTCAAACTATTAAGAAATATTAGGTAACAGTCTGAATGTGGTAATTAATAGCAACAGTCTTAGCTTTCGTATTTGTATATTCTTATATATATGTAAATATCCTTTTCTAAACATGTTTGGATCTTAAGTAGAATCAATTAAAAATAAAAACTCCCCAATACGACAGTTAGATATTTAAGATTTATTTATGTGACATTTGACTGCTGGTGTGTATTTGAGTAATTGTTTATTTGGATTTCAGTGGAATGGGAAGTAAGTGGTGACTTGTACAAACCTAAATTATATCCATCCTTTCCAGAAAATCCACTGGAAAGGCTGTCCTTGTGTTTTTTTCCCCATTTAAAGGCTTCTCAATTAAATCCAGTATTGGTAATTAAAATCGCTTGTTTTAACATGCCATTCTGATTTTTCCCCATGTTAACTTACCTTCTGTATTGTACCTTCGAAAATAATCCTAGCAATTCAGTTTATGAAATTGATTGTCAAAAGACCCACCTGGAACTGGTGACTAAGTTAAGTCTAAAAGCAGAAAGGTTAAGCCTGAGAGTTTACAAAGCGAGCTTTGCTTTAGAAAGGTCAAAATCTGCCTTGCGGCAGCCAAGCTCGCACTTCACGCTGATGAAGAATGTGGGAGATGTGGCTATCAGCCATGATTCTTGCGCAGACTTGTTTTTGAACTTTTTTTTTACCTAAACGATGCAGCAGTTGCTGTGCCTTAGACGGAGAGTGATAAGCTCTCTAAGAAAGTATGATAAACCTTCATTACTAGAAGACATTTTTTAACTTGTTTTTCGCCTTTATTGTGACCCATTATTTTAACTGATGCGGGCTTTTACCATTTTAATTCACTCTTTTACGTGCTGTTTTTGTTAGTGAATGAGAATAGAAGGTTTAGATGTTGGTTCTGAAGAGGGACGTTCAGTGTAAATAGGTTATAACTGAATGCTCTGATGGCAGATGTTTTACCATCAAGCCTTTTTCAGTGCATGGTCTGTTAAAATATAACCGATTAAGATACACTTATCTTAAGATGCTTAAAGATCTGTAGTGTCTTCACAGGTATCTCATGGGAAAGCGCTCGGCCTGTCTAGACAGGATGTGACTGTGCCAGAGGTGTGCTATACTGTGTTGCGCAGAATGTAATTTCAATGTATCTGATGATCAGCCCTGAAACAATTTTCCTTTCTGAAGAGGCATGCTATGCAACGCAGGCAATACATATCAACTTCACTTGGCAGGGACTTGAGCAAAGCCTGTGTTAAATTATACATTTAAAAAAATGTGCAGTGAAATTTAATATAGATATTCCCAACTCGGCAGCTGTAGTTACAACTAGGTCCCATATGGTCAAATGTGAAATCTCTGCACTGGTTAACTGTTGATTTTTCATATAGTTTTCAAGGTCATGCTCTTGACTTTTAAACCCCTGAATAGTCTCTCCCTTCTCTCTTTCTGCCCTCATGAACTACACCACTAGCCATGCACTCTCATCCTCTGACGTTTGCCTTTTGGCCCCTCAACAAGATCATATAAACTGTGGGTGGTGAGGGTGGGTCATTCTCTTGCTATGAACCTAGGATGAGGAATATTTCCCTGTGAAACTGTGAATGTTGAGTCCATCTGCACAGATCACTTGAGAACCTGCTGGTGTAACTGGTATTCGTATAAATGTTATGTTTCTAATTAATTTCTTTTCAGTTTTATAGCTTTGTTGTATAGCACTTTAAGCCTTCTTACGAATGATGCATTATAAAATGGTTTAATAAAGGTAACCAAGAAGAGTTTTATGGAAGGATCATCAGTAGCACACTTGTCAAACTCCATTGCTTTGTAGTCCCTCTTTTAGATCTAGAACAATTTATGTTGCCTTTAAACTTAACAGCAATTAATAGTAGGCTATGTGATTTGAGGAACCTGTTTTTTAATCGCATCAACTGAAAGATAGTGAAAGATAGTGAAAGTCTGCTTCTCCAATAATTGCAGTGTTTTGCCTGGGTTGGGAAGTTTTTAGTCTTTTTGTTTGTAATATATATCCACTCTGCCTTTGCCTGGCTATATCTGAATTGTTCTGATGCAAGTTGGTGTGTTTGAAATGTGTGTGTTGGAATTTGATTTTTCTATGGTTACTTCCTGTTTGTAGCGAAGTGAGTGAGGCAGTAATGAAACTGGCACTACATTTGTCAGAATTTGTGCTTTGTCCCTTGAACAAAGTCAAATTTCTGAAGATGTAGTGTGTCACTGTTTTATCTGGTTCATTCAGCTCCATTTCACTTCCTTTGTCTTAAGTTGGACTTGATTGACCAGTATCTTGGAGCCACAGTTCTAAACCTACATGTGTAGCAGTAGACCACTCTTAACTTTATACCAAATGTCACTTACATAGAAATTAATTCTTATGCACTGACAATTATGTAACTGAGAAATCTGTTTGTTTAGGGACAATATATTTCCCTGAAAATCACTCTTAATTCCACGAGAATAGGCACTTTCCAGCTAGCTCCCAGTCCAGGATCTTGTATAGGTCTTCCAGGTGAAAGTATATAAAAGGACAATGCTTCAGTTCATTCCATTAGACCACTCAATAGCAGGACGGAGTGGTGTGGTTCAGCAGTTGACCGAATTTAACGTTCATGTATTTTTTTATATTTGTAAACTGAACCTCGGAGAAACAAAAACATGTTGTTTGTGAGCTGCATTCACAACCTTAATTAGGCGAGTGCGGCGCTACAGAAAAGTTTTACCTTCCCTGGAAAGTAAAGTGACAAGGGTCTTTCGTCCATGCAGGAGTCATGAGTTCAGAGAGGGTTCTTCTATTTATACACTAATAAACATCTGCTTCTCAGTCTGTTCCCAGAGAATGTTGTCTCACAGGTTCATAAATTTTCCTGTTACAACCTTCAGCATGACCAGCACTGACTGAAAAGGACCAGTGGTGATAGTCTACCCTAAGTTCAGCTGAACAGGGTGTCACTGGTTCCCATGAGTAAGAAAAAAAAAACAGTTTTAGAACATAACTCTAGCAATATGTGCAGTTAAAAGGAATAAACAGTTTAGAAGAAAATAATTTCCCATCCAGCACTATGTAGCACAAAGAATTGCTTATACTATTCCACAGCTGTTTATAAATATCAAGAACTTAATTATAATTGGTAGTAAAATGCACTGAATGTAGTCGGCCCCACACATGCTTGGACAGAGTTGAATTGGTTTGGTGAAATAATTTGTAAATTAAGTTTTAGGTTTCTGGTTAACCATACTAGTATAGCTGTCCATACATCTCTGAGTCAGGCTCTATATTTAATACCATAAAGAGATCTGGTCTATTTTAGCTTACAGCTGTAGTCTGTTGAGGCTTGGGCCACATTTCCTCATCAACAGAAAGCAGTATTTCAGAAGTGCAGGTCACCTGCATTGTAAATGCAAACTAAATCCTTGCTAATTCTGTAGCTTGGTTCAGGATGTCTGCGATGGCACGCTACTGCGTGTCTTAGTAGATTGTTTTTGTTTCACTTTACATTGTCTTTGTGTGCAAACATTTAAAAAAACATTTAAAACAGTTGTTCTTAAATATACCGTTTGAAAGACGACAATTAAATCCAACAGTTCTTAAATTTCAGACCATTTTCTATCGGGAGTGCAGTTAATGCGGAACATTTTCCGCTATAGATTATTTGCTGTTGACAGAGAACAATCTGTAGTTCACCACAGAAATTAATGTTCTCAAGAGAAATTTAAACATGTTATTATTCCTACCCTAAGCATGGCCTGTGAAAATCGCATAAGATGGATCTGAACCAGAAAAATGACTTGCACTTTACTAATTCTCTTACTCATAGTGCTTGGTGGTTGCCTTAAACTGATATGACAGGATATACTTCAAGAAGTCAGTGAATTTTAACTGAAAATGAGATTAAACCAAAGCAATAAATGTGCTTTACAAGGACATTGATTTGAAGAGACATGAGACTTGAGGAGGAACTTCATGCAGGAGACTGATGGGAAGATGTCATGTTTTATGCAGCTCTGTCTGAGCTGACTGTATTTATAGATGTGTTTTTCCAGAACTAATAGCTGACGCAAGGCATGATTGGACTCAGAATTTTTTATGATGGTTCATAAATCTCTCTATGAACTTAAAGGATGCACAGTTCGCTCTCTCATGTCAGTCACGGTAATGTACATGCAGATGCCTGTGTTGCTAATGTACATGCAGATGCCTGGGTGATGTTCGAGTCTGGCTTTGCTTTTGGTTCTGCAGGCCCCCTAGCTAAAGGCAGCTTGTGTGATGCTAGTGGCTTCCACTCTAGCAGTTAGCTTTTTGCATCTGCAGCTGATCCCTTTTAAAATTGTGTTTACAGTCTAAATCGTCTTCAGCCAGGAAAACGGAGCTGTGGAGGTAGTCGATACCTAATACAAGCATTTCAGTTTCTTCTCTGTCCATATTTCATATTCTATCCCTACGTAATGCACAAAATCCACATCATTGGGTGTCCTAGGACCTTAGACAGCCAGAAGAACCCATTACACATCTGCTCGAAGCTAAATTGAAGATTAAAACCCAGTAAAAATGTATTGAATATTTTTCTTGAGATTCACTGTAAGAAAGGAATCGGTGCTCTCCACCAGGGAAGCAAAGTGTGGGAGACATATTCAGCGTGTCTCCAGACCTTTTAAGTCTAGTCGTGTGCGATATCAACCTTTGCATACCCTGCACTTTGCATTTTCATTTATTTAACAGAGTTGAGTCTATGTCCATTTGATATTTTTTGTTTTTTCCTCAACCTTCAATCGGCAAAGCTGGTAACCTGCTTTTTCGTAAAACGTTCTTGACGTAAATAAACTTAATTGCAAACTCCATACTAATCATTTACGTTAAAGATGTTTTAGCATAGGTGGTCGGAATTCAAATGTCTTTTTCTCTGTCAAACTCTTTCTTCACAGGCGAGCTTTGGTACTGCGAGTAGAATTGTACTTTTTGCTGATCCTTACTGTAAGAAAGTGTACGCGCACATTTACAGAAACGAGCAAGGTTTCTGAAAGGATTTTTTTATGATCTAGGAGGGACTTTTAAGAAATTATTAAAAGAAAGTTGTGTTCTTTTCTTTCTTCTTACCAGGACACAGCTAGCCTTGCCATATCTCCTTACATGACGCCCAACGATCTGACGGAGCAGGCTGTGAAAAAGTGGCTGACCACGCACCGATCGGAAGAAGAGGTGAACTCGAGCGAATATGTCCTGCGGGTCAGCACAAGGCTGGAGTTTCTCTTCGGAGAACACCCACTAATCCATTACAAGGTGTGTAAGGTGTTTTACTGCTGGGCTTGCATGACTGGAAAACAAATTTCCGCAACATGTTGGATGACTTGTGTAATGCTGTGTTGGTAAGGTCCTTTGTCCTTTCCACCAGTGTGCACTATTAGAAGGGAAGGTTTTTCTTTCACATAGACCATTGAAAGAGTCAAAATTTCACTGTTTCCATGCAACATTTTCAGGTACATATTCGTTTTATTCTTTGTTTTTATTGTGAGCTCCAGAAAGGAAAGATTTTCCACGTGAAACATGTCTTTTCTTTTCTTATTCCACTATGGTTTCCCCATGAAGTGGGGAATCTTAAAGTATTTTCATTTAGTTTATAACTACGACAGCCATTAAGTTGAATGAACAATTCCTAATCTCCATGGGCGTGGATTATCATAATATTAAAAGGTTTACTTCATCTTAATTCTTCAAAGAGGAATCCAATCAAATACTGAAATTAACCATGTCACTCTTATTCCAGTAAATCTTTTAACCGTTTGTTACAAAGCCACTCCTATGTGGAAAATGGCATATAACTACGAAATTTAACAGGCCTGTTTTGCAAATAGATGTTTAATTTCAATCACATACTGTTGTGCCCCTTTAAAATTATTTTGACATAATTGGGCTTGTTAATTAAAATTGTAGAATCCATTGATTAGGAAACAGGGTAATTTGTATTTAATCAGTAATCTAATCAGGACTTGAACTTTTCACCTTTCTTGTACTTGGTACACTGACTGATGGTTTTGATTGCTCATCTCTGTAGTTGCTTTCCATTCCTCCACTGTATGTAGTTTTGTCTTTGTGGTTTAGTTATTTTTGGCACTTCTTGAGTGATTGAAAGATCAGCTGACAAGTATTGCTTCATCTTAAAATAGCTGTAGACTCATAGGCTGTCTGAAAATCACAAATGCAGCATTCCATGATGTTTGTGCAAAATAGACATCAATGAAAATGTATTAAAGGCGCAGAGATAAGTTACAAAGCCTTAATTGTGTATTAAAGGAAAGTGTGCATTTAGAAAATGCTCCAAACCAGACTTCTCTACCTTTCTTGGCCTTACCCATTGTTTTACAGTATTTGTTCTGATGGCTTCAGAGCTGCTGACCGCATTTTTCTGTAAATTTAAATCTTCGCTGATTCTGTTTCACTTCGGATTGTTAAAATCGGAAAGCATTTTTTTCAATCATTGTGTAACTCATTTTATCAACATAGCCCTTATAAATCAAACCCAGGGATAATCTCTTCTGTTTCTTTTCCTTATACCGGTCTCATAAATGGTGAAATAAGGATATCATGGTTTCTTTTAAGTACTTTTAATTTTCGTGCTTCGAACATTTTACTCTTTTCTAGCTCCTTGAGACCTATAAGCGTCTACGCGCTTAGCTTTTTTTCACTCTTTTTCTGGCATTAAAATATATTAAATTAAAATGCAGAGCACAAATTTGTGTCCTGTGTTATGTGACATCTGCAGATGTTGTATGCAGGTGTGCCAAGATCATGCTAAGTGTAGAATGGCACTTGTATACCGATATGTTGAATTCAAGGAAAGAACAGAGCTCGTGATTTCGAGAATGTGAACTGTTTTTATGATCTCATTCTTTTTCAAACATTTTTTACTAGGAAATGCTCTGGCATTTTGGTTTTGTTTGCCCTCTGGTTATGCATTAAATTAGTGTACCTTGAAAAGTCCGAATGTCTCATTAACCTATGGTTTATGTTGTAAAAATGCATGATCTTCATCAGCTGATGCAATTCATTACTGGGCAGTGGTTTTCTGCTAATTTAAGGCTTATATGAAGTCAAGCTGTTCTGAGAAGAAGCCATTGACCTGTCAAATGGAAAAGGCCTTATTGTCGTCAACTTTTAAGTCATCTGCAGAGTTCTTTCTTTTTCTGGTAGCGTCAGTGCCATGAAATCCAAGTCTACAGCAGTATTGGGGTAACAAAGACTTAACTGATTACAGAGCCTGAAGCAAATTCTTGGCTTAAAAGTGTCATGCACTTTTGACATTTTTCCGATTCTGACCAATTCATGGTTTGAGAACATGTGCTAGAGCTTTTTGCGGTAAAAATGTTCTGCTAAATTTGACATAGCTGATATATATCCTTATATATATATATGATGACTGATTAAACACAACTTCAGTATTATTGCTCCAGTATTCTTGAGGCATTCCATGTTGATCCAGTGCCTACTTTCTCAAGATATCCTTTCCTTATAGTGCACTGGCCCTTTTAGATTAAGTGCAGCATCATTTATTTTCCTTCCAGTATCAATTGGAATGTACTAATTCCATGTTATTCTGTTCTTTAGTACGTAAAGACCTGCATGATGTGTAATGAGAGCCCCCACCTGACTCTCGTCGAATGCTCCACGGTCAAGGAGATGTTTGAAAAAGAAATCTCTGCGGTTGGGACAGTTGTGAATCGGAAGTCCTCCAATCCTCCATTTCCATTACCTCCAAAAAAAAGAGGCGTTTCGGTGAGTTTTTAAAAGCCATTGAAAGGTTATGTTTCAGAATGTGGTACAGTGTTAATCTGTCACTCTTATTTTTTTATGCCTTTTAATAAAAAAATAATTATACTTAAAGCTGTAGGGACTGTATTCTTGGATATTCATTAAATTTCTTGAACTCTTTTTTTCGTGTCAAAGTGCCTGAACCTAGTACATTCTTATGTTCATCATGGTCTCATGGTCTTCATACATCGGCCAGTGTTTCTTCACCTCTGAGAAGTGTACTGGTCTTCTCTTGAAAACGTTTGCCATTTGGACCATCAAACTTGTTTGTTGTAACAAGTTAGATGGTCCTATCTAAAGTTTTCCAAAAACCTTATCTTGCCTCTTGAAAGTAACCGCAATTGTGCATCATATTCTAATGGTATTACAATTATATTATATATTTATAGCTTAGTTCCAATGGACTGTTCATAAGACAGGGTTATTAACACATGTAGATACACTATTCTGAGCATACAAGAAACTACAGTAGATCATAGATCTAAGTTCTGAAGAGCAGTGGTCCAGATCCTTCTATCCTGATACTATTAAGTATAGAATTTGCTTTGCTTTTGGCATCCTAGCTGTTTCTTCAGTATACACCGGAGTAAAATGCATTAGCCACTTACCTTTCATTGCCAGTTCTGCACCCTCTTGCACACTGTTCTTTTGAGTGTTGTGATACTGAAAAAGTCAACTTGAACCTGCATGACAGTATTTCTTTTGATTTATTGTGGCTTTTCTAAAATATTTCATCAGCGTTCAAACTTGTATTTATTGTTTTTCCATTTGTTTAACTAGAAACCACGTGTTAAAATCGAATTTCTCCTTTTTCATATTTTTCTTGGTGTGTTTAAACTGTATCGGTTGCTGCTTTCCAGCTTTTATTTAGACTTAGGGTGAATCTGTTCTGTGCTTCAGGGTGAATCTTTCCAAAAACTTGGCATCATTGCCATGTTAATCCTATTCCATTTTATCGTACTCTTCCTTTTTTGCTTCCTGACATTGTAAACCTATGTTCTGGACTTTTATATAATGATAATATTTCCCTGACGATTCTCCATTTTCCTGTCATTATTGCAAAGTAGATTTAATACAGGAATTTCACCTTGCAGGTGCTCTTGTAAACTTAAACTCTAATGGTAGACATACAGTAACCTATTACGGTCTCAGTTGTAGGCATCAAAATCAAATCCTCCCATGATGAACACTTGCATTGCATGCATTATAACTATTTGACCATTATGATGGTTTCAGAATAAACTATCTTTGTGACCCAAAAATCAGCAGGCCATTGCATTAAAGCCTTATGTGCCCTTTGAAACGGACCACTTCAAATGGTTTCTGTAGAAGGTCATTTGAACTGTTGTATTCACAAGAACAAAATTTATTTGCAAACTCCACATTGGCATGTGCACTGTGGTGTGCAGGATTTGCTAACATGTGTCTAGCCTAGGGATTGGACCGCTACAAATTGCAACTGGAGCCCACGTCTTCTCTTAGCCCCGTGGGGGGGCTTGTTAGACATGGTTTGGCTGTCTTGTGATTTGAAATCTGTGACGCGCTTTAAAGCAGTGGCCTTGCCAGTGTTTATTTTCAACTAAAGAAATAACAAATTGACGAATAATAGTGTTTTGTTAAATGTACTGATGAATAAATACAGAACCTTTTTTAAAGAGGTTTAAATAACATGAAATGTGAAAGGTAATGATCACCTTGTGAAGCATTCTGAAAGCTATCAGGATGGTAAATCCACAGGTTTTGTTTCCCACTGTGTAAACCCATAAGGTCCAGGTCACATTCATAATTGCCCTGTTTACTCCCTTAATATTCTTTTGTTAATCTTTTCTGTTATTAAATTCTGTTTTAGTTGGCGTTAATGGCATTGTCCTCCCTTTTAGCAAATATCAACCTGCGTTTGGGATGTTGCAGAGCCCTTTAGGATTACTCTTATCAAGGGAAGCAAGGTCAATGCAGAAGAAACGGTCAAGGTAAGATTTGTTTTTCCAGGACTCAAGAAGTTCTAGGACAGATCTGTTAAAAACTGACACCACAAATTTGCAGCTTGGTTAGGATCGCGTCTTTCCTCCTGCCATAGTGAAGTAGTCTCTACTTACAAGCCTCTGGATGTTATTCCATAACTTCACAAGATTGCGCAATTTCAGCAATATACTCAGTTGGAACTGAGGCATATTCTTCAGTCCTTGTCAAGAAAGGGCATAGTTTCCCATTTCTTATATAACGCATCTACAACCTTAAGCGTAATTGTTAGTTTAGATGGCATGATTTTCAATGTGTTCTATATTTGCATTGCAGAACTGTAAAAAATGTAACGTGTTAAAAGTTGCAAAGTTTTATAACAACATAACATCACTTTATTAGCCCCTATACAATTTCTTGCATTAGGAATTCGTCTTTTCGCATACCCCAGCTTGCTCTCCATGAGACACACAGACAGGGAGAGAAGCTTGGGGTCAGAGCGCAGGGTCAGCCATTGTACAGCACCCCTGGAGCAGTTGGGGTTAAGGGCCTTACTCAGGGGCCAACCGGAGTAGGATTCCTCTGCCGCTGTGGGATTTGAACCAGTGACCTTCCAGCCACAGACGCAGATCCTTGGCCACAGAGCCACCGCTCTGTGGCCAATTAAAATTAAACAATTAAAATTGTTAATGGGCTCTTTAATCAATTCATTGTTTTAATGGGTATTTGTAGTTTGTTGAGCAAACTATCCTTATTGCAAGCTGTGTGGAAAACGGTTCAGTTAGGATATAAATTGCTCAAAGTGCAAATTGAGGGGCTGGGAAGCCAAAGACTGTGAATATTGCTAAACTAAATTGCCTGATGCGTGGATACAAAATGTGGAAAAAGCTAAGTGGTTTGGCTTTACATATGGGATATAAGCCACACTACGGAGAAAAAGGATTTTTGGAATTTCTTGGTCAGTGTCTTGACAGCAAGTTCAAATAGGAAGATGCGTCCGCATGCGTAGAATGCAAAGGAACAACTTGATTCCATGCTGAAAAGAGAAGAAAAGAAACAACATTTCGGCTGTGGAGCCTTCTTCAGGTGTGGAAGAAGGCTCCACAGCTGAAACGTTGTCTCTTTTCTCTTCGGTCTTGACAGTAATTGGTGTTTGCGCTGTCCAGTCCCTCACATGGTACAGTAGTGAGTGTGTCCTTCCACCCCAGGTGCAGGTCAGGGCAGGGCTGTTTCATGGCACGGAACTCCTTTGCAAGCCAGCGGTGAGCTCAGAAACCTGCGGGAAAAACGAGCACGTCTGGAACAAAACGCTGGAGTTCGACATCAATGTGTGCGACATGCCGAGAATGACCCGGCTGTGTTTTGCGGTCTACGCTGTGATGGACAAAGTGAAGAAGCAGAAGTCGACCAAGAACATACATGCTACCAAGTACCAGACCATAAGGAAAGCGGGGAAAGTGGTACGTCGACAATTTCACTTCCTACTTCAACAAAGTTTCATAAAAGTTATTTTTAGAAATGGTGGGGTGTAAAGGGATATTGTGCACATAAGGCATTCTGTTTCAAACACTTGACACTTTTCAGTAAGGATCTGAGGGTTTTCAGAAGTAGATTTTCATATTGTAGTAATGATCCTAAGAGTTGATATTGATACAAATCCTTTCTTTTGCCTGACACTTGTAATAGAATTCACAATCTAGCTCCAAAGTGTCCATCATTTCTACACTGGCTGTGCTGCTGTAACTAATGTTCATGTCCCACATGGAATACCTCTGCAGCCTAGTTTTTTGGATGATGTCCTATATTTGACTTTTCAGCTTTCTAGAGTTAGCATAAATATTGACACAACGTGTATTTCCCCAACCTATAACAAAAATAGTCAGAAATAAAGAAGCAAGGAAGCTTTTTGGACGAGAGCAAGAGGCATGAAAGCTTGCATTTTTAATCATGTTTAACAGTGTCTCAAATATCCAACCACCCACATGATGAACGCCCACATTCAAATTTGTTAGGATGTCAGGTCGTGCATTCTGCTGCTGTTGAATCCTTTCATTTGTCTAAAAATAAATGTCCTAAGCATGACTTTAAAGATCTGTGCTTCTATGGAGAAGTAAATGACAGCCTATGTAGCAATTACTTCAACTTTAAACAAGGTGACGGACAGAGCTGGTTTTATGCAGGGCAGACTTTAAGCAGTTGTTGGACAGATTTTTATGGTTTTTGCAGCACTATCCAATTGCTTGGGTGAATACCATGGTGTTTGACTACCGCGGGCAGCTGAAGACAGGTGAACTAATACTCCATGGCTGGTCATCTTTTCCTGGTGAGTTTCCACATAGGGGCAATGTAGAGTCGAATAGCCGAGTACACTTATCTGTGCATTTAAACCAAGTTCTGTGTGCGTCATAGAGGCCTTAAGGTGATGTACTGAAGGATCTGTATGTACATTTTAAAACAAGGGATTATTAAAATCTTTTTTTTTTAGCTGTATGTAAGATAACCATTTTGGGTTGGTTTGCCATTTCATACGTTTTTTTTCTTGCAGTCTTGCATGCACATCATAAAAGCATTAGTTTCTGTTTTTATTTGTATCACCCAAATGCACACTTGCTGCTTTTCAAAAACCTAGAAATGACATCTACCATCGGACGTCTTCAAACCATAACGGATAACCATTGCTGATCCCACTTCAGTTGTATAAGTCACATTGCAAGACTGAAGAACCGCTTTTTTGTCTTCCATGTGAAGGTTTTAAACCATTTTCTTTCAGATGAACTTGAAGAAATGCTGAACCCCATTGGGACTGTGCAAACCAACCCATACACTGAAAATGCTACTGCTTTGCACATTCATTTCCATGAGTGTACCAAGTCCGCAGTTATCTATCCCCCCTTCGACAAGGTATGGTGTACACTACATAGTCTTTTTAAAACGAGTCACGTTGTCCTTGGTCAGACTTAATTAACAGGGCTGTGTGCTTAGGCGTCTTTGCTTGCCTGGTTGGCACATGCAAAAATGTTTTCAAAGACCTGAATAGTCTTTGTTTTCAAAAAGCTTGTTTTCATCCCTATTTAGGGTAATGGCTAAAAGGTACTGTCGTTTGTGGTGCCCTTAAAGTTTTCCTGTTACACTAAAATAGAAATATTCAGAGAGAATAATTAAGGGCATTTGGTTTATAACACATCTGTTATTGTAACATAATATCAATTTGTTTTCATGGTATTCCAGATAAAACATAGACTGGAAATTAATGTTACATAAAATGTTTTATGATTTCACATAATAACAGACTGCAAAGTTGGTTTAATTCCAAAATTACTCTTTAATGGGATTTACCTTGTGGAAAGTACCCAACGATTTCAAGATCCAGTTTATAGAAGGATGTTGATGTTCATAACCTAAGAAAACATGATACAGGAATTCTCCACTTCAGCTAGTGAAATCAATCCTAAAATTAGAGCCTTTAAAAGGGAATATCTTAAGTTTTTTTTTTTTAAGGAATATCTTAAGTTTGACCAATTTAAGAAAAATGCAGTTTAGAAATTGGGCTTGCAGGCCACCTGCTGGAGAAAAGCAAAATTGCATTTTCCTCAGTGCACACAGAAGCAGTGCATACTGAATGAGGCAATTGTAAATGCTTGTAATAATTAACTATTGAAGTATGGCAGTAGGTAGTCGTCTTTTTAAAGTCATAATGACCTGTACCTGACCTTAAGCTTATGGTCCTTTAATGGTATGCACGTTCATAATTTAATAAATATGCTACACATAGAAATAAGTTAATCTTTTTCAGACAAATCTTCCGTTTGTCTTTAAAAAAAAATTGTGCATTGCAGCTACCTGAACATCAGCCAGTAATCTTCAAGGATGTGAAGGTCTCACATGAATATACTTTTGTGACTTTATAAAGTATTACGTACAACATTGCTTTATCCTTGGTGAAACTGCTCCTTGTCTGTATCTATTTCTCTGCAATTTTTCATCGTTCTTTTTTTCCATAGATCCTGGAAAAGGCAGCTGAAATTGCACGGGGTAGTGACTGCATGCCTATGGTTGTAAGTTTATTCATTCAAATCATGATAATTTCGTTTTGCTGTTATTGCAGCTTCATTTTTATGCTGGGGAAAAAGGTGATTTAAATTGAATTAGTGTAGGGTATGTTTTGAACTTTGCGCATTTGTAAGAAATCAGAAGGAATTGAATTTGAACATCAAATTCTGACGACAGTTAAGTCTGAGTATGCCTCTGTATTTTAATTTGCCTGTTGTGGTGCCCTGCTGCCCTCTGGTGTTTTAATTCTGAAACTCTATTCACAGAGTCGAGGAAGCAAGAAGTTCCACATCGAATTGAAAGAAATAATGGAGCGAGATCCCTTGTCTCAGCTTTGCGAGAACGAGAAGGATCTCATCTGGACTCTGCGTTACGACTGTCGAGAGAATTTCCCCCAGTCACTGCCTAAACTGCTGCTTTCCGTGAAATGGAACAAGCATGAGGATATGGCACAGGTAAAGCAACATCGTGATATGCAGACCGTTAACATTGACCTGTATAATTGAGTCTCGTGCTGTTTTTTGTTTGAATTTTTTTTCATCTGCACCTCTAAACCTACAGCCTCACTCTGCCTTATTTTAGAACATTTAACTGTATTATTAAGATCCTTTTTCAATGTTCCAGTGTGGAAAAATATTTTTTTTTCTCTGTCAGTTCAGAATAAGCTTTGTAGTGCTTCAGAAATAAGACCCAAGGTGTCAATGCTATATTGCTGGGCACATGCAAAAAAATCTATTTCTCAGATGTATCCCACATGTAATTAAATTAACTGGTCCGAGAATAGAATATAACATTTTTAGACGTTCATTATGCAGGTCGAGCGCGAAAATTGTTGCAACCTCAGGGGATGTTGTGAAAAGAGTTTTGCTTTTTGACGCTGGCCGTGAGTCACGAGCTGAGAGAGGGATTTGGGTTTGCCCGATTGTGGACATCACAAACTGCTGTCAAAACAGTTCCTAGGGCGACCTTCGACCTTACTGCCACTGTTGCCAGGTACCCACCCTGCCTGTGACTCACGCTGATCCAAGCTTCCGTTCACAAGGAACAAAAAACATAAATAAACCTCCTGGTACCTCTTTTCTTTTGGAACTTCCGTGACTGGCTCCATGGTTTGAGTGTGTAGTGCAGGTCATTCCAAAGAGCACTTGGCCCTTTTGCATTTTTTTAAGGAAAAAGTCGCTGTCTGTCATCTGAGAAAAACTTACCAGTCTTAAACTCCTGGGTAATTTAGGAAGAAAAACAGCAACGCTCACCCAACCCGAACCAGAAATGTAAAGCAGCTTTTGGTCTCAATCAATTAAGTTGGAGGTATTTAGGTACTGTAGTCCTCTCTGCTGTTTAGCAACTTGAACTGAAGTGATAAAAATGGGAGTAAGCCATTTTTTAAATTCAACAAAGTATGGAAAGAGAACTATGAGAGCCATGATATGCCATCTGAGGAAAACCTGATTTATTCTAAGAGCAAAGTTGCACCAGTGAAATGATTTACAGAAGCATACAAAAATGGTTATGAAAAATTCTCTAGTTTACTGATTTTGAGTATACAGTCATTAAATGGTCTGGGGTTTTTAACAGTTGACCCATATATTGATATGAGTGGGAAGATGTATATAAAAAATGGGTTCAAAATTAGACAATTGCATTGCATGTTTTTGCTAATTCCTTTAGAGGTCCTTGTAAAAAATTACTTGGGCACATAAAAAAGGTGTATTTTAACACTTATTAGAGGCAGGTTTTGGTAACAGTATTTTGTTAAAAGATTATGAACCCACGGTCTGATGTATCCACTATATTCTACCAAGTTAGATCCTCACCAGGACATGTTGCATTTCACTGGTGGATTTTCAGCAGCAGTTTTTCATGCATTTTTGCAAATATAATAATGTAATAATAATAATTGCTTACATTTATGTAGCACTTTTCTGGACACTCCACTCAAAGCACTTTACAGGTAATGGGGATCCCCTCCACCACCACCAATGTGCAGCCCCACCTGGATGATGTGACGGCAGCCATAGTGTGCCAGAACGCTCACCACACATCAGCTCTTAGTTCAATTCAATTTATTTTTATATAGCACCTTTCACAACAAGGTTTCACCAAGGCGCTTAACAATATAATTGGGGAGGAGAGCAGAGTAATGAAGCCAATTCATAGATGGGGATTATTAGGAGGGCATTGTTGGTATAGGCCAATGGGAATTTTGGCCAGGACGCTGGGGTTACACCCCTACGTTTTTCGAGAAATGCAATGGGATTTTTAATGACCACAGGGATTTAGGATCTCGGTTTTACGTCTAATCCGAAGGACAGTGGTTGTTTACAGTATAGTGTCCCCGTCACTATACTGGGGCATTAGGACCCACATGGACCACAGGGTGAGCACCCCCTGCCGGCTAAGAAGTATGAACTAAAAATGTTAACGTTTAATAACTGAAAGTCAGTTTGTGAAACCAATAGAGGAAATAAGTGTTCTACATGCTTCTGGGAAGACTTCTGATATTATATGGAAATAAAATATACTATTTAAATTAATAATTAATATAAATTATATATAACTTTATATAATGGAAATGAGAGACTTCTAACTTAAATTTGAAATTCTTAGAACTTGTCAGCAATATGTATTTAGTGTATTTTATGTCAAATGTGGTACTGACATAACAGGGTAGTATCTGTGATGCCAGCTGCTGTGCTTTTGTGAACATCTGTCCTGGACTGAGTCAGTGGTAAACAGGGCTGTGACCACTTAGGATTTTGCTATGTAGCACCTGTGACTTGTTTGTCAGTTATGCTTTCCCTGATTTTAATTGCCAACCTTTAGTGTTATCTGTGTGAATTGGGGATGAAGTAAACTGGTCCTTGTTAAAATAAAAGCTAAACATCAGCTCACATTTCAGAAAGGAAATGAATCATAGGCAGACACTATTCTGGCTATTATCCAACTTTGAGCAATTGTTGAAAAGTCCACTAGTAAAACAATGTGTTATGTTAAATTTTATTTTTTGAGGTCTTTTTTCATTGACTGCACCCACCTGGGGAGACATGCAATTCTTATTAATAGTTTACCATTGCTGCAACAATAGGCTCGTGAATTAATTGCACCTGCCTCTTTTGAGGAAACATTATAAAATGAAAAAATAGTCTGGACCCGGAGTCACATATCCAGTTTAGACAGTAACAAACATATGTAACTTATTAAAGACCTTTTAAATAGTTGTTTTTAATACTGTTATTGGACTAAGACTAAAGGTACATTCATTGTCGTGAAGTTGATGGAACATTGAGCTTGTTTTTTTCGAATCTACTAATATAGCAAATGACACAATACAACCTCATTTGAAACTTGCATTTTTCCATGTCGTAAAATGTAATATTGTAATCTGTTTCATGCTTGAAGACTTCAGCCTATGTCTGCCTATGCTTTTTCTGCCTTTGTTGAGGCACTTTTAAAGATGTGGTCCTCCTAGCGGCAGAGCTTGCTTAAAGCTTTGAATGATCTTGAGTAAATCTTCAAAAATGTAGTCTTTGTGTAGTAGGTACTGTATGCAGAATTGCCTAATCCAGTTAAAGTTACAATACAGTAGGGTTTCTGTGTTTTGGCAGTTTAAAATCTGTTGAGAGTGTTTAAGTTGATCCCATCTGAAGCAGTATTGGGCTACTTGAACCCCTGGTTGAGAATTCATCAGAACACACACCGTAAATCATGAAGGGGTTGCTTCTAAAATGTTAAATTGAATGCATATACCATCAATAATCCTGATGTTTGTTTTCTTTGGCTTGTCATTTACAGCTTCAAGCCTTGCTGCAGATCTGGCCCAAGCTGAGTCCCAGGGATGCACTGGAGTTATTAGATTTCAACTACCCAGACCAGTATGTGCGTGAATATGCAGTGAACTGCCTTAGAGACATGAGGTAAATGCTGTTCAGTCTTGGTAGCCATAAATGTACTTTCCCTTCAGCTTTTTATCTCGGTGAAATCTGTGCTGTTTCTCAGTTTCATCTTCCTTTTGCTAATTTGCTTTTGTTTTCCTCAAGGTCATAAATACTTGCCTAAAAGCGTAGAAAAGTTTTAAATTATCTACCCAACGTTCTTTCTTCAGAACCGCCGAAAATTTCACCAGGCTTTAAAATGCTCAAAAACATGCCATTTTTGTTACAGTTGACTAAATCCTCACAACAAGGTTTTTACACGAACAAAACCCTAAACACTGTTCCAAGTTTTTGTCTTCTTTTTTATTCTGGAGAGGACAAAGTTGATCGGTCTAATGTTTGACATGCTACTTAACCCACACCAGAGGGCCCAGTCCAAACATTCTGCTACTTCATGCTGCCCGTCACAAACATAGAGGTTCCATGACCAGAATGGCAGTCAAACATTCTCCTGGGTGCTCCAAGAATGCTAATATTCTGAAGAAATTCTCCAATACAAAGAGAACACGTATTGGGATTAATGTAGCAGCAGCAACTGGGTCCAAAAACTAAGAGAAGCCACATTTGACCCCCCCCAACCCACTTCAAGCTCGTCCCCTATACCTATCGTGTAACTGTCCCTTCCTAGAAAAGAATTTGTTCCAATTCTAATTTGTTCCAAATGATACTATGGTCAGCGAGAGTCTATAATAGTAGATAAAGGAATTTCTGAAGTAATTCAAACCTCTTAATGTGTAATTAACCTCTTCCTGTGAAACGTCAGATTTTTCTACTTGCCTCATTAACCAGTATTTTTGAAGATCTTCGCATTTGTTTTAGACTTTATACACTTCATATGCTCAATTGTTCTAAAGTAAACTCTCACAGGCTGTTTCACTAAACCTGCCCCCCCCCCCCCCCCCCCACACAGATGTTTTTTCATCAATATTTGGGCAGAGTAGTTAAGGAAAATAGTAGAATGTGTATTTTCTGTGCTTTGTCCATCAATGCTTCTAAGAGCTATTTTTTAAAGCATAAAAACTGACTCTGGATTATTCTCCTGAAAGTGTATATGGTCTCTCTGAGTTTAAAGGAGATTCCAGTCTCAAACTGTGATTTTTTTTTCTGTAGGCTTGAGAAAAGCATAGACTTTCTGTTTCTTATCTTTGAAAGTATCTGCTTTGCAGGTTGTTGTGCTGGTCTTCTAAGTTTTGCCCTCTCCCCTGCAGTGACGAGGAGCTGTCGCAGTATCTCCTGCAGCTTGTGCAGGTCCTACGTTATGAGCCTTATTATGACTGCGCCCTCTCTAGGTTCCTCTTGGAAAGAGCACAGGCCAATAGGAAGATAGGCCACTTCCTGTTTTGGCATTTAAGGCAAGTCATTCAGAACACTGCTGTTGGTTATTGTGTCTGTCAAGCACACTTCAGGCCTTGTGTGTGTAAAACAACACCAGTTTGTGGCTTAAAAACACAAATAATAAATCCTTCCAATAGTGACTCCAGACCTCTGGTGTTTGTTTACAATTTCCTGGGAAGACTTTAGGTTTTGATCTCCTGACTGGATCCATTTTAATTGAGCCCACAATGCACACGGCAAGGGATCTAAGTTGGCCCCTTTCCTGTAACGGCAAACGCATATTAAGAAAGACATACACAAGGCCTGCAATGTTCCCAGGAGCTGTTTGTTTTAACTGTGTTAATGGTTGCTTTTGTTTGGTACCTGGCAGGTCTGAAATCCATATGCCTGCAGTGTCTGTTCAGTTTTCATTGATACTGGAAGCCTATTGTCGGGGCAGCATTCCTCATATTGAGGTTCTTAAGAAACAGGTAGGTTCAGGCATTCTGCTGTTTCAGTGTTCAGTTTTTAAGATCTTATATGAATAAGCACATAAACCTCTATGCACCATTTAGCTTCTCTTTTTACAAGCAACTTCTTTTTTTTTTTAACAGAAACCATGCCATAAATACAGTCCCCACAGAATTCTGTTTTTATTTAAAGCTTTGTTCGGTTCTCATCTCATGTAGAATTCAGTTTTAAATTGCATTTAAAACCTCAACACTCCAGATGAAGGTGAAATTCAGCACATTTTATTTTGGTCTTGTTTGGGGTGGGGAGAATTGTAAGGTAGTGATGTAATAAATGTAGTTTTCACTGTAGCCTTTATAATTTTCAAACCCTCACTCAGGCAAGGGAGTCAAGTAAGGTACCTTGACTGATCAGGAAACCAGACTTCAGCACCACTGGAAAAAGGGTTGAATGAATTCCCAACTGTACACGCACGGAAGAAATTCGAAAGAGAGAACAGTTCAAAAAGTTCCTGTTTGCAGGGCTTGGGTTCCAGTGAAATTTCCTTATCGCTGGTGATTGCACAAGCTCTGAGAATAGGGAGAGGTCTCTGAGTGCTGGGTTTTGACAGCTGTTTGACCCAGTAACACTTCTTGGCCACCATTTCACAATCGCACAGCTTACAGCTTCCACTTCATCCTGTGGAGCCCCACTCCAGAATGCCTCCACCGACTTTCAGCTTTAGGCCTAACACCTACTAGATTAGGCGGCTATTTCCTAGAATAGAAAACTGACAGTATTTCAGAAGAGCCCTTTCTGTTCTTGACTACTTGTTCCAATGCGAAACCTCTCAATGGCCTTTGGTCATGTAGTGAATTTGGTTTCTCTTTTATCATGCAGACAACGTGCCTTTTCACTTCACTGCTGGGTTAAAGCCATTAAAGTCTTTTGCTTTAAGACAAGTGTAAAACCTCTTACGGGAGAAAACAGGCCAACTGTCTGAATCCCTGACCAGTTGAAAATAAATATTTACATCATTGTGATTGTCAGGGAAGGTGTACTGTTATGTCTCCTCTGCTGTTATTCTGTCCCGTTGCACTTTTTCATGGGCTCATTATTGCGGCAAATGTTTTCTGAAAGTGCAATACATAGTCTATCACCATGATGTTTTTCTAAAGTAAATTAACACAAGCTCTTTTTTGTCCTTAGTAATTTATTGTGAAATGTTTGGCATTTAGGTTGCTTTACATGGAGTAATTCTGCTGGCAACGTTGTCATGCAAGAAGGAAAATATACACTTATTACTTCTTATAGATCCTATTGCATCGTTTATAAGTTGGGTAACAGTGAGGTGCTTAGTCCTACCATCTTTCCTTTCTTTATCCGATGAGAAAAAGGCACATGGACGTGCTGAAATGACTTCGGCACACAGCCTGGTGTCTCTCATCATGTTCATATTTTTCTTAGGATCGGACCAATTTCAAATACAACTAACCCTAAATATGTTGTCTTCTTATTTTCTCTTATGATTACTGTAATCTTTTCAGAATCAAAAAGTTATTTGAACTCTTCAAAACTCGATAAACCTATAGCCTGTGCAGTAATTTTCCTTCTGGCTGAAATGGCAGTGCAGTATTTTAGATTTTGTAATCTAGCTGTTCTGCTCAATTTTAGATGACTGTAGCTCTGTTATGAATATTCCCAGTTTCAGACAAGCATGTATTTCTGTACACTTATTTCTCCTGGCTTGCTGTTTTTTTAGGTCGAGGCACTATGCAAGTTGAAAGCTGTAAATGAATTAATCAAGCTGGGCACTTTAAAAAACGCCAGGAACAAAACTAAAGAGGCAATGCTGACCAAAGAAGCGATGATGACCTGTTTGAGACAGACTGGGTTTGCAGAGACACTCTCTGATCTCCAGTCGCCTCTCAATCCCAGCATCCTCCTCTCGGGAATCCAGTGAGTATGTCTGCAAAAGCAGAATTATGAATTTGCAGACGTTGAATTTAAGGTACCAATACATATTGAGACAGTTGTTTGAACAGTTAGTGATACCCTTATAATACCAAGACCATATGTTTTTTTGTAAAGATGCTTGTATGGAAAAGTGAAAAGTGATTTGAAATATCCTTGAAGAGAGAACTGTAGTAAAGTGCCTCATTAATAATGTGTTGACATATTGGGCCACCTTTGTCCATTCTTAGTTTTTTTTTCCTAACTTATTTACAGTCCTTTTCATGCATTTTGGGCATCCAGCAAAAAAGTTGTTTTTAAAGATTTCTTTCCACTTCGGACCCATAGTTACATCATTCTTTCCATCGCACATGTGGAGTCCTTTAAATAAGTGTCTAAACTTTACCACTCCTGTAAATGTAATATTTAAGCATACTGTTGCCAGTCAGAAACCAACTTCAAACATCATTAGCATCTTATCCCTGTAATGTCTTGAGGGTTAGGAGATGGAAGAACTGCAGAACATGATGTACTTTTTCCGATTTGAAAGAAATTCAAACGTATCCCTGGCTGAACTGAAAAAGTCTCCTATCAGTTCATCTACTTTGTGGTGTGATTTAAAAGGCTCCATGTTTTTCTAATCTGATTCCAGCCCAGGTGCGCCCACCATTCTGGCTAAAGTGACAAAACCATCCTTTTGAGTTTCCAGACTGCGCAGAAACATCTGTTCCCAGTTTGTCTGTCATCAGGACGTAGTTTTTGACGATATTGTTGACATTTTTTCTTCATTACTGGCATGTTTTTTCATTTTAATGATTTTTTTTAAAAGTCATTCAGACGTTCTATAAACCATAGCAATTTTAGGTTGTCCTAAATTTCAGATGTATGAAAGTGAACTGCTATTTGGTGGTTTTTTAAACCATGTATTCTGCACATTTTCAGTTCTGTAACAGATTTATTTACAGTGCTCCAACTGTCTTGCCATATTGAAGATTTTTGGGAAAACCTTGATTTCTTAGTGATCATTTTATTAAATTGACTTCTTTCGGCTTAAATAAGCTTTTGGCTTTTTTGATTTAAAACGAGTGTCAGTTAGGTGGGTTTTATGAGATGGTCATTGAAAAATCCTTTTGGTATCTTAAATATGTGAAACCGTCTTGAAATTCGTCCTTATTTTTTGATAGAATTTAACATTTTCTGCTTAGTGCTGTTTTACGGTTGATATTAGGATGTTAACCAAAGCTTTGATTTGGGTTGCTTTCAAAAATTCTGAAACTAATTTTTCATAGCACATCTAGACATGCAAGCAAGCCATATGTGGCCTAACATTGCTGCCAGGGTTCCAGAACCAATGAATGAAAACTAATCTAATAAAGGCAGATAATGCAAGTACAGTGGTGTCATTCAAGCTATCTGTGACTAGTGATCTTGATATTGCTGGCTGGCTTCCAAAACAAGCAGTCACACTGGAGCTTCAATGTGTCTCGAGCTCTTTTTTGATTGAATTGTTAAAGTTTTTCTGTAACGGTTTTCTTACGCTTAGATTTTTTTTTTTCATCTGGAAGTGATTTTTACAGTAGTTTGGCAATGATTTTCTCTCTCTTTCTGCTTTCTATTCCATGCAGTGTGGAGAGATGCAGGTACATGGACTCTAAAATGAAACCACTGTGGGTAGTGTACAATAACAAACTGCTAGCAGGGGATACATTAGGAATCATCTTTAAAAATGGCGATGGTAAGTAGATCGGATTTTGCTCAGATAACAACTCTGCTATGTGTACGATGACATTAAGATGTCTTCCCTGTTAGGTTTGTGTTAATCTAACAGAGCTTTCAATTTAATGTCTTAGGAGCTAGTGCACTCTGCAAATACTCTTTGATTTAAAAGTGTAGGTTTCTTTGTCTATTTTACCCATGCTTAATCATCTTTGAAAATATTAAGAGCTTTCAACGCCTGTTTTAAATAATTGTAGCACTTGAGAAATTGAATAGTATCAGCTGCATGTGTGTTAGGTCATCAGGCACATTTTGCTTCAAATAGAATGTAGCTTTTGCCACCAGCTCTTGGACTTTTGAGGCATTTAGTTGCCTTCAGTTCAAGGGATCCCAAACCAGAGTTGTCCATTGGTCTTTATTGTGAATCTTTTAGACCTCCGCCAAGACATGCTTACCCTGCAGATCCTGCGTCTGATGGACATGCTTTGGAAAGAGGCTAATTTAGACCTGAGGTAAGAATTTCAAAACTCATACAGAAGATTCCCTTTTTGTTGTTTCAAGCTCCTTAGGGATCAGCAGCGACCTTTTTGTTCCTCGAGTGAATTTTGAAGTGCCTTCTGAAAATCCAGAAAGGCATTTTGCTATGACCTGTAAAATTGTAATAATAGCCTTTCATTTGCATTTGCTGATTTGGATTTTGTGCAGCATGTCGCCAGGTTAATATCCGAGTCCGTCACATGTGGCGGTACCTCACCATGCTTCAGACCTTTGAGAACGTGCAGAGAACACGAGGGAAAACTCAAATCTTTTCTGCCCCCCGATTGTTTCATTGTGCTTTATCTCGGCGCAGCAGTTTCTGAAAGCCAGCTGGACTTCTCCCGAAGCGTGTTTAAAACTCGCTGCAACGGAAGGAAGAAGACATTGGATTGCCAAGAATTGCTTATAGATCTGTCAGTAGCTGTCCTCCATACGCGCAGCTTTGTCGGTGAAGAGGGGGCCCGAGTTCAGAAACCCCAGGATGAGATAGAATAGACCCACAGGACGTGTCCTCGAGTTGACTTGTCAGAATGCCTCTCTGACAAGGATGTTTTTTCCTCCGGCTCGGAGTGTTTGAGCCTCTGGGGAGCAGGGAGCTTTCATCCTCTCCTGCTTTTGAAAGGGAAGCAGTTGGAGGGGAGCCCATAGAAGGAGCAGGCCTGAAATGCCATGGAAGAGGGCCAGCCTGACCCCTGACCCTTCGGCACTTGGCACAGCTTTGTCATGTTGTGATAAGACAGGCAGTGATTCCACATGTCTCTCGAACTGAAAGCCCTCTTAATGATCTTCATCCAGCACTCCATATGTGGCACATGACTCTTAGTACATTTGGCAAATTTATATATGCAACCTCAGTCTCTAAATCTGCCAGACCTCTGCTAGACATAATGTTATATGACAGTGTCTGGGTGCCAGAACTGCATGTTCTGGGAGACAACTCTTTTTTCAAATGAAGACCAGCTTTCATTGCTAGCTGAAGACCTTCTGCCAGAACATCCAGTTAGACGGTTTTATTGAAGGAAGTTGTTTTTTTTTTGGGGTTTAGAAAAGATCTAATGATTTTTAAATGCCTGGGTTCTTCTGTACTAGCTAGCTACCTCTTAGCTTTTGTCGTACTGTTGTGTTGCTTGCTGTGACAAAATATCCCTCAAGTGCAGTTTTTGAATAGGAAGGTTCTCCAGAAGTTGATTTTTTTTTTACCAGGCAATATTTACAATGTGGATCTTATATTAATAAATTATTAATCTAATATTATTTTTATATATTTTTCTAAATAAAAGTTTTTAAAGGATTTTCAAACCATTCAGTATATTGCTGAAGTTTCACCAACTCTGATGCGATAACCGGTTTACATAAAGCACTCCTGTTTCTTTTCTTCTGACAAGAAAACCTACAATTTCTTGCACAAAATATTGAAGGGACTGCTCTCTACACATACTTGAAATTAGTCTCCCTTGTCTACGAAGTCCAGTTTGTGGCCCGTTCAATGTAAGCGATGACTCCAGTTGAGCTGCTTTTAACTTACCCCTTTTGATGTCTTGTCTGTTTTAGTGTCATATGAATGTTAAATAGTCATTTTCTAAACTTAAGTCAAAAGCTGTAACTATGAACAAAGAGCTGAACCTTTTTATGAGAGATGCATTGTGCCATCTACTGGACAGAGTGAGAACTGACTTAAACCTGCCCTAAAATGAAATTACACCACAATGTACAGAACATGGAGATTTAAGTATTCATGCTTATTTTACTGTAATCTCTTAAGACCAGACAATGTATTCTTCTGATTCTTTACAACCTGGACATTTGTGTTTTTGGAGTAACTACATCATATTCACTTTTTTTTTTCAGAATAGTGCCTTACGGTTGTCTAGCGACAGGAGACCGAACTGGTCTGATAGAAGTTGTTTCTGCTTCCGAAACAATTGCCAATATTCAGCTGACCAGCAGTAATGTAGCTGCCACTGCAGCTTTTAACAAAGATGCCCTCCTCAACTGGCTGAAAGAGAAGAATTCTGGGTAAATATTATGTCCTTAGTAAAACTATACCTGTTAACTTTTAGCTCCTCCAGCAGGAAATCAGCAACAGGTTTAGTTGGTACAGGAGTTGTTGCTACAGTCCCGCGTTCTAAAAATGGATAGGATAATAATTACAAACCAAGAAAAGTCTCTTTTGTGGGATAACCTTGCTTTCCTTGTGTTTCTCTCCAGAGATGCGCTGGATCGAGCAATTGAAGAGTTCACATTGTCTTGTGCTGGCTACTGTGTAGCTACCTATGTGCTCGGAATTGGTGACAGACACAGTGACAATATCATGGTTCGGAGCACAGGGCAGGTAAGGGTGTATGCTGAACCTACATATTGAATATTGAAATGAGAAATGTCCCATGTGCTCTTGTATATATGTAATGCCTTGTTTTAAAACAATAAGCCTTGGGTGGCACAGTGGTGCAGTGGTTAGGACTGCTGCCTTGCATCACTGGGTTTCAGGGTTCAATCCCAGACCTGGGGTGCTGTCTGCATAGAGTCTGTTCTCCCTGTGTTTATATGGGTTTCCTCCAGGTGCTCTGGTTTCCTCCCATAGTCCAAAAACATACTGGTAGGTTAATTGGGTTCTGGGAAGACTGGTTCTAGTTGTGTGTGTGCTCCGTGATGGACTGGTGTCCTGTCCAGGGTGTATCCTGCCTTGCATCCGTTGCTTGCTGGGATAGGCCCCGGTTCCCCCATGGCCCTGAATTGGAAGAAGTGATGAGAAAAGGGAAGGATCGATGGACGTTAAGCTTTTTTTTTTTGTGCGTCTGCATGTTTCAGCTCTTTCACATAGACTTCGGACATATTCTGGGCAACTTCAAATCCAAGTTTGGGATCAAAAGGGAGCGGGTGCCTTTCATTCTCACTTATGATTTCATCCATGTCATCCAGCAAGGAAAAACGGGCAACACTGAGAAGTTCGGCAGGTAGGAAGCCTTCAGCACCTCCCAAAGAATATACAGTATAGAATTGCATTTTGAATCTATTGCTTTGTAACTTAGCCTGATTCCAAACAATTTACAGACTTCCAATTTGCTTTGCCAGCATCTACTGTTTTACTTTGAATTATAGCAGAGCGTACAGCTATATATATGACTAGGGTAATGGATCATGTCCGTGGCAGTTTAAATGAAAACTGACATTCAAACCTGATGCTTCAGTTTCCTTTAAAAAAAGCAATAATACCATCTAGTAAAACACTTTAGCCTTGGAAGTTGGTAAATGTGAGGCTTTTTGATGCAGGATAAAGCTCTGCCAACTTTAATGTTTTCTGTATTCCGGTGTTCATTGCCAGGTTTCGACAGTGCTGTGAAGATGCCTACTTGATCCTTCGGAAAAATGGAAACTTATTTATTACTCTCTTTGCACTGATGCTCACAGCAGGCCTTCCAGAGCTCACATCAGTTAAAGACATTCAGTACCTTAAGGTAAGAAATGCCCTGGAAGAGCCAAAGATTGAAATCTACTATAGCTCACGTAGGTTTTATATCCATAAAATATACAGAACATTGGTCTGTTTTCAATAGAAATTCATATAATAGGGTAAAATCAAAGTCTTACATAATTTTCCCAACAAATTATTTCATTCTGTGAAGTGAAAATAAATGCTTACTGACCTGTTTTTAAATGTTATGAAATTCCGACCTCTTGTCCCTTATCTTTTCACAATTCAAGAGTTTAATCTGGCTCTTCAAACAGTGGTGTCTTGTGTGTGTTAAACTAAGTGGCAACAAAAATCTCAAGACCCTATAGATAGATAATAGATAAGACTTTATTAATCCCGAAGGGAAATTGAGGATGTAGCTTAATGGATTTTCTTAAAATGTTTTTTTTTTTCTAGGACTCCCTTGCGCTGGGGAAAACTGATGAGGACGCACTAAAACAATTCAGACAGAAATTTGATGAGGCTTTGCGTGAAAGTTGGACTACAAAAGTGAACTGGATGGCACACAATGTGGCAAAAGACAACAGATCTTAGCAGTTGCACCAGTGCCCGAACTGACTGTGGGAATCTGTTTTTAAAGAAGGGAACAGTTGAAGTCTGGACCATATATTGGCACAGGGGTGATGTGAATAACCCGATTGTTGCACTGTCAGCTTCACTGCTTCTTCAAAACTAGACCAAGATTTTTTTTGTTTTGTTTTCATATCTGTATATAGTGGGTAATCGACAGTTGCTGATTTTGCACGCTGGGGGCTACTGGTTTCTTTATGTTCCTGTATATTTTATTGACGAGGTTTGTGTGAAACAGCTATAAAAATGGCGTTAGTACACATTTCTATGTGACTGTAATGATAATATATATGTTCAACAGCTTTACTTCAACAGACATGGTGAGACATGATCACATTAAACACAGTTTAATTAAATACTGCTTAGAATGCAATATAGGTAACTCCAATTGTGATGAGTTTCAGCCAAGAGATTTTAGATTATGTACATGTTATGCATCTGAGTTATTGCAAAGTGACTGCTATGATATACAAATGTAAGGGCAAAAGACTACAAAATAGGTTAGACTCAACAGAATGGAAAAAAAAAAACGTTTCCTTTTAGTGAAACCTATAGTGTTGCTGGGGGGGAAAAAACAACAATTAAGCCAGACGTATTTCGTCACAATTGTAATTCCTCTTTCAAAGATTTGAAAAATGTGCCTCAAATGTGTGAAGAGAAGATATTTTAAATTTATGTGCTAGACTACTTCCTAAGCATTGCTAGCAAAGCTTTGAACTTCCAGTCTAAATGATGTTAGATAATATCATTGGACTACTCTACACTGGAATTTTTAGAAACTTAGTTTGGGAGTCTGGTTCATGTTTTTATACCAGAGATGAGTGAAACTTTGATGTGATGTGCTAAAATGAAGATGTGATTCTTAAATTTCTTCCACTGAAGAAACTGGCTGCAGGTACAAAGCACTTTTTATTGAAATTTATATAACTGCCTTGTCTTATTAACAGGTTTCAATGCAGGTGTTTGTACTGTCACTGACATGCCTGAATTTACTTGCAAACATCATTCAGAAAACGGACAAAAAAAATCTCATTTTTAAAATATCATTTTAAAATGTTTTTAACGTTCTCGGCATAAGACACCCTGACTTCATGAAGCTAACGAAACTGAAGCTGGTTTGTTTTTTTCGTTATGTGCCAAAAAACACAAAAGTAACATTTCAGTACACAACAGGTTGCATAGTTGCCTTTATTTTTATAAATTTAACAGGGTATAAGGTCTTGCTTTGGACACCCTTCTTACACACTCCAATGTAATCATTTCAATAAAATGGGAAACAAAGTTTAAAACCTTAAATCTAACAAGAAAGAAAATCAAAGATCGAATGATGGTAAAGTCAAAAGAAATCCACGCCACAGGACCAAAATGCAGTGGACCAGTTTTTATGCCAATTATGACTTTTTAATTTACAATTATGTTTTGAGCTTTATAGGGAATGTACCTTTTAAAGTGTCAATGCATGGAAAAATTAAACTTGTTTAAAATATGTATTTTTTTTATTGATGTGATCTGTGAAGTAAAAGAGCATTCAGTACTTTTCAGTACTAATGTATTTAAAAGCTATTTTTTTTTTAGGTGCTCTTCCACCATCAGCGGTTGATTTGTGCAATATAACCAGAAAGTTCTGCAAGCCTGCTGTGTAATTTTTTTTTCACTTTATTTGTAATGCTGTTCTCACACCAGTAGCCTTGAGTTCTTCTAGACACTGAATATTTGGAAGATGTACATGCTTTTGTTTTGTTGGTAGTTGTTTTTTCTCCAAAGGGAGTTTTATTAAAGTTATTTTACATTTAACCTCTCATTATTCCAGTTTTTTGTAAAAGGAGCTTCTGTGGTCTTGAAGCACTCAGACACTTCCATTTTTCATCAAACCTTTATTTTTAGAAAAGGGGAAACTGCAGTATGTCCATTATAAATTTCAAATGTAAGATTTAACAGCCCTCGTTTTAATGTACTGCTGCAAACTTAATGAATCACGTACTATGTATTCCAAAAAGTGTAAACTATGAAAAGACTACAGCTTCCCTTGAATTCAAAAGAAGTTAATGAAATGCTTACCTGCTGATGTTAATGTCACAAGCCTTGTTGTAATTTGCCCCTCTGTTGAGCACATTTTGTGAATGCTGCAGGCACATTTCTGCTAAACTGTAGGACTATCAAATAACTTCCTTTTTGTATGGTACAAGCATATGGATAAAATTTCCATAATTCCCGTTACATGCTTTTTCGCATACGTCTTTACTCTCTGTGTTTTTAGCTATTCAAATTGAAATGGTACCTCTCTTCTGTATATAGCAATTAATCAACAACTTTACAGCTACCTTCTGGAAAATTCTATCTGCAAAAGTTATGCATTTGAAGAGCTCTGTTTGAATTTCGAGTTTGAAGATATCTGGAGGTTTTCTGCGAAAGGAGATGTAAATGACAAGTTTATTAGGGGTTGCTGAAAGAATGGACCACATCCTTCAAATGAACAGTGAACAAACAAGCATGGAGAGTAGAGGTGGCTGTTTTTGGTACTCCTGTACATTTTAGAACATGATACCAAAACAATGTCGGTGAAGTCTGTGTGATGCTACCTTCATTTTAACAGTGGAAATATTCTGCACTTTAATAGATCTGAACTGGAATGTCTGATTCCCTGTTCATGTACTAAAACTGATGGGGATCTGAAACTGGCTGGCTGAACCAACAGCCTGTTCTTGAGATTATCGCTAATTATTCAAAAATCTGCCCAAATTATCCCAACTAAGGGTTCAAAATTATGTCACCAATGCCTGGGACAAGAGCTAAACTGGTTCAGATAAGCAAATCTGTTATGTACAGTAGCTAAGAATACAAGTTAAAAAAAATTGCTTCTGATCTTTGCTGTATACAAAATGTTGGTCACCTGTTTAATTGTCACCTTCCACAAGTTTGATCAGATAGGTCCGTTTTAGTTTGTAAGAAAATTAATTGCCTGACTTTAGGTTGCTTTCTTCAACAGGAAGTTGCTCTCGAATTGTCGGAGCATGCCAGCTGTTCCTGTAAGATTTTGTGGTGTAGTGGTTCTCATCTGTCTGCCATGTGAGCAAATGAACTTTTGCCTTCTGCCTAAATTGTAAGCAGACTAGAGTAATTGCTCCAGACTAACAGCCTCTGGGTTGCTCAATGCTAATTTAAGGACATACATTTGTATCTTTTTTCTTTTTAGAAATTAAGTTTATGAATAGTATTTATCTTGTTCTCTCCCATGTCATGAGGCAGTAAAGCCATTGTATGCAGGCTTTAAGTGTGCAAGTAATTTATATAGAATTCAGGGGTTTAAAATTGGTAATCAAGGTAGGTTGTGAACAGTGTGAAGGAAAAAAGCATAATTTGCTTAAATATGGTATGTTAACAAATATCCCAAAATCCCAAAGGAACTGGAAGTCCATTCTAAGCTGCTATTGGTATTCACTGTAAGACTGAAGATAAGAGATGAAACACTAAAAGTATTAAACGTTTAAAACTCTTGTTTTGGATTTCTGTAAGGGTTTCTATGATTCAGTGTATCTTGTTAAAGTGAAAATAAAGCCTGGTTTTAAGCGATATTACCACTGTGTGTATTTGAGAAGAATATGGGCATGTCAAAGGCAGATATGTAGAAAACATTAGTACCCAAAGAAGCAAAGAGGGTATCAAATACATTTCTTCTGTGTAAATTTCAAATTATTTATGGCACGTTTATATGGGTTTGCCAGATGCATCAGTCAAATGAGTTCATGACTTTGGATTGTTTGAGTAGGAACTAGAAACCCTTGATTTTAACATTTCATCATAGAAAACACAACTTTGCATAGCTATCCTTCAGTGTAATAGTACCCAGAAGACAAAGGCTTAACGGTTTCTATGAACATTTTAAAAGACCTCTTTCTTCGCACGTGCTTGTCATGAAGCTTTGTGCTTTTTAGCAGCATCTGCGCAAGTACATCCAAATTGCTCGCGTTGCAGAGTTGAAGTAGAGAAGCTGAATTTGATATGGGCAGTGCTTTATTTCATTTAATCTCAGACATCACTAACATTTAAACAATTAAGGAGATAAGTCTAATAACCTGCATTTTCCAGGTCATCATCGGGTGCTCATTGTGTCCAGTATGATCCCGTCACTCAAGAATCAGGGCACACTCAAGAATCTGCATAACCCTGACTTAAAACACTAACTGCCTTTTTTGGGTGAATTGCATGAATTTCAGAATGTAAGATAGTAATAGTCCTGAAGAAAAGCTTTTTGAAGTTGGTAAAGCATTTGAATAAATGGCTAAAAATATTTTAAAAAGAAATCGGTTCAGTAAAGCAATTTCAGGAGTCCAACCTTTACAGACTTTGATTATGGTGACTCTTGATTATAACGCCTTTTAAAAAAACATCTTACCAAAAACCTCTGAGCAGAAAATGATCTTGTGATAAAGAGGGATGGCATAGTATGTGCAGGCAATAAAGTGAGGAGTATGTCTACTGACCGGTGCAATCTTAAGCAAACCAGTAATTAAATTTAGTAAGTATTAATGCTCGTCTGTTTTTATTTTTTGTGACATTCAGAATTAAAGAATTGAGGTGTTTTTGATTAGCAAAGATATGGACCCTACCATTTTTTAAAGGTGGCTTTAATTAATAAAAGCTTTTGGTTCAATATTATTGTATACCATTGTAGGCATACATTTCAAATCTTACAAGTTTCAAATTTATTGTCATTACACTCATACATGGTATATGGTATAACGAAATGCTATTTAACTAACTCTCGGAGATAAGTAGTACAAAGAGGAAAAAAAACAACAACAATACAATTGTGTAGCAAAAGAAAGACAGAGAACAGGCAGTGTGCAAAAAACAACAACAGATGATGTGCAAAAAAACAACAGGCAATTTGCAAAACAACAAAAAGGTAACAGGTTATGTTACGTAAGGACAGTACTTAATGCACAAACAGTACAAGCAGAAACCGCCCAACTTCACAGATCTAAAACATACTGTAGATTGTAGAAATCGAACTGGCCATTTGGTGAGTGAAATGCAGCTATACCCACACCTGGGTAGGATCTGCAGTATTTCAGGTACATATTCCCCAGAGCACAGGGGTTTAAAACTAAACTTTGAAACTCATCTGGGTTAGTGAGACAAGTCGCAGGTCTGTTGGCTTCTGCTCACAGGGCCACCCGGTCATTCTTAATGTGGTTTAAGGTCTGAGATTGGGTACCATGTTAGGGCAGAACTGATGTCCCAGGTCCTGTGTTAGTTGTTCTGCATTGGCAAATGACTTGCCATCATTAGTTTAATATGTTTGACATGTTATCTCAGATGTGGTTCTCACTGCTGCTTCAATGTCTAACAATATAACTAAGTATGTTTAGAAACATAAGGATTGGAGGATGTTCAATTGTGTTATTGGAAGTTTTATGTTTTTTGTATTTGACTGATTCCAAGGTCTAAAATAATTGAAGGTAGACTGTTACTTCCATAAAGTAAGCATTGTGGTGTGACATGATTGTGAGACCATTGCAGAGTTATGTCTGACATTCTTGGGATGTTACATAAGGGTGTTGTGCCCAAATCCATTACAGATTAATTAAATCTCACTTCCCTAAATTGTTCACACCATGGTTTAGAACACAGTGTGGTCTGGCCAATTCCTTTTCATAGTTCAACCCCTGATCTAGCTGTTGTACAGTTTGCTGAGGCACTACAGCTGCTGTGTTCAAATTATGATGGTGTGTCTGTTTGGCTAAGGATCCATTGTGCAATAAGCTCAGGTTTGTTTTTTTAAATGAACAATGCTTTATATATATAGCCCTTGATGTCATTTAAACTTTTCTAATTTGTGTTCTAATTTCTTCATAACTCCTTATTGTTGTATTCATTTTCATTTTGTGCAAATTACAGATTTGTTCATTTTTAGCAGCACTCAAGAGACAATGTGAGATTACATTTGCTAAATTGGATGTATCCTTTTATCCCTGCCTTGGAATAATGTACGAGAGAAGAAGGGTGATTCATCACTCCGCTGTTGCTTCCTGTGGGGTTTGAAAATGATTAATGAGACAGCTATTTGATTTTGAAATATGCAAATTTATTCAGCACCAAAATTACACCTCCAGTCTGCATATGTGTTGATGAGGTTTTATGGACTAAGCTAGCACCACTTGTTGCATTTTTACCCTTTATTTGTGTAAGAGCTAAATATGAACAAGAGAGCTGTCAGATGATGAGTTTAAGTGGATGCACCCAGCTATGGTTTCTAGTTTTTAGAAATTGGTAGAACCGTAATTTGTGTTTTTTTTGTGTGCAAGTATTGAAAACAGTACAATACTTGTAGTTTTCCTTAAATGGTCAATTGAATTTCACTGATATGATTACTTCGTGTTTAACAGTCACACCCGGACTTTTTCATGCAAGCATGTGAAAATATTCAACTTGTTTGTACGGAAATAAGCAACTTTTGCACCAATTTCTAAAGTTCTCCCACACAGTGAAGCAACATGCACTATTCTATATTTATCTTTTGATTTACTCCTCTACTAGTATTCCTACATAATTATCTCTGAGGATTTCTTGTAAGCAGCCATTAATGCTACAACAGTTTGATCTTTATCATAAATAATGAAAGTGGATACAGCACTCAAGCATTAAGAATGAAGAAGAGATCTAATAATAAGAACAAACCTTTAATTCCAGTTCTGTAGAGCATCTTCAGCTGAAACAGGCAATTAGAACATCATCCAGGCAAGGCAGCTCACAAATTTACTTGGATTGTGTTCAGCTAAGTACTTTTTAATGGGCCTGCAAGGAGAGGACCTGCGTCATTGTGTCGACCTGAAGGGTAATGAGTGAAAATAAGAAAGCAAACAAATGTTTTTAAACTTGTTTTACATTCATTGAATGCAGTGCTTTTGGCTGGGTATTTAAAGCCTTCGGAAATAGTTTTTCAATAAATAATTAGGCAAGGGATGATGCACATCAGCCATTTAAAATTTACTTCTGTCTTGCATTAAGAGAGAATTAGTCACTTCTTAAGAAGATAAAGGGAATAATATATAATTCAATAGGGCAAATACAGTGAGGACTTATAGAATAAAATGATTTTTGGTTTGGAGCTGAGTATGTTGCTAAACAACACACATTCTATATGCGCAGTCTTGTGTATAGAGTCATTTGGAACAGTGCTGCAATCAGTTCTGATATCGAAATGCTGCATAACTTGTAGGATTTGAGCAATTACTAATGTGAATTTAAACACTAAATACCAACCTTCCTTCAAGTTCTTATGGCTTCTGGCCGTAGAGATTTTTTTTCTTCTTAGTACATTCGGTGGTATGAAAATGAAAGGAGTTTTGTGGGCGTCAGTGTTTAAATTGATATGCATCTGGCTTGTGGCTTGTGGTTTTATACTGCAGTATGTCAAAAAGAATCAAAGAACTTCTTTCAGCAACATAACCAGTGTACAGTATTGCACCTGTAATGCTGCTACAAAATGAAATTCCATATTAAAATCAGTAATAGTTTACTTCTACCTTTCTTCCCATTATGCTCATGTTCTTATAGCCATTCATCTAATTCAAGGAAGAATCTGAATGCATGATTCATGTTTAGTTACTGAATATTTTACAGGCTCCAGTCTCTTAATGTTAGCTTCATTGCAGGGGCAGTAAAAAGGATGCATTCCAGTGACTTGTTTGATGATTCCTATTCATGGCATAGGAGATGGAAGCACCTGGTACTTTCAGGGTACAGTCATGATGCATATATCCGTCCATCTATTTTCCAACCACATCTTCCAAATCAGGGGTATTGGGTAGACGATGCCTATCCTGGCAAACAACGGGTGCAAGGCACGATGCAGCCTGGAACACACACACGCACATGTGCGTACGTCAATATCCCCAGAAGCTAAATAACCTTTCAGTTTGTTTTGGGACAGTGGGAGGAAACTGGAGCACCTCTAAGAAACCCATACAGCCACAGAGAGAACTTACAAACTTCATGCAGATAGCACCCTGGGTTAAGAATTGAAGAGCAAGTCCCAGCAAAGCAAGACAGTAATATGTGCCACAGTGCCACACATGATCCATGTAGATCCGTTATTTTATCAAATGCCTTATAGCTTGTCTTAGAAGATCATTTAACTATTATTGACAAAATACTGCTTTGTTTAAAACCAATCTGTTTAACATAAACACAATTTACCAAAATTGTAAATTAGCTTTTTACTGTACAATATTTTTCACACCCGGGTTTTTTATTATGCTCTTTTTTTTTCAAATTCAAAATCCATAATTTAATTTGCTGCTTGCTCTTTTGAATCTCCTTGCATTTTTATGATGATGATTACGATGCTGCGGTCATTATTACATATGAGCAACTCTAAAATCATCCAAATGCTTTCTCCAAAAGTGACATTTCCTAGTGGGTGGTAGGCATCACACAGACAGGCTTTTGAGGGGGCGATTGCACTCCTGACTTGTGTGGAGGAGAAACAGGGAATTTGAGCTTAAACGGCATCAGTCAGAAGCCCACACAAAGTCATTAGCAAGCACTCTGGCCTCCGTTCTTTACAGGA